TGTTCAATGCGACACACACACCAGCGATCCACACAGCTTTCTCTTTTATAAGTTAAAACATTTCAACATTCCTCAGAATGTAAAGACAGATAAGTGGTATGAAAACCTTCCAGCTGTGTTTTCTCTGCCGTTGTTGCTGCAGCGGTCTGTGTGACGGCGGGAGCAGAGGGCTCTGTGAGCGGGCGGCTGACCGGCCTCACACGCAGCCACTTGCTGAGCTCCTCAACTCCGAAAATATTCAAGCACATTTTTGTTCACCATCACTTCTCGTAAAACTGTCAATATTCAAAATCTACACAGCTCATTTCTCACGATTTTAGTGATGAAATTCCACACGAAACTGTAAAATATAAAACTTGCTGGCCTCAGTCTCAGAATATTCTCTCTGACCAGTCAGCAGTCTGTCGTGTATTCTAGTTACATTTTAGTATCCCTAAGCTCGCTTGGAACCTCGACGGAGGTGAGGTGATACGAAAAAAAGTACCTGGAAGCAGGTACAGGTACAACATTTCTACAATGGAAAACCAAACAAAGGTGAGTCGAGCCAAAGGGCCTCCGCTCACACTAGCTTGGTTTGAGGGCGTGCCTGACCCCGCTTGCTGCTTGGCAAGCTTTATGACGCGTTTTCCTTGTGATGTCACAGTGAAGGAAGTGAAGGGCTGGACTACAAACGAGTTGTTTTCAGGCAGTTCAGAGCAGAGTTTTCTGTGGGAGATGGGAACTCCCTTTTGAGCTGGACTTTGGGCTTCTTCACTTTGCAAACCTATTACATGCACAAAAAAGATATACAACTCAATAAAGGAGAGGGGGAAAGCCAAAAAGCATAATACCACCTCTTTAAAACAAAGAGAGAGACTGTTCCATATGGAGCAAAAGTTCAGGCGCCTGTAAGTGTGTAACTGTGTAACTGTGAGTGGAGCAAAACCAGGAGTCCTTGTTCTAGTGGACAGAATCAGCAACTCAATGTTACAGGGTGGAGCCAAGTTGTGTAGTGCCTTAAAATGATCATCATTGGTTTTTTTCTTTTTTAAATAAAAGCATTTAAACTGGAATCTTTAATTCAACAAGAAGCCAGTATATTGGAACGAGTGCTGGCATAATATGGACACGTGAAAGGTCTTTGTATGTGATCTGGCAGCAGAAAGTTTAACTAAATGTAAACATGCTACAGCTTCTTATCTTGAATAAGAATACAGAGCAGTACAGTTGTGAAGACATAAGGAGACAAACAATGGATGAATTGTTCAAGCTGTTGGAAAGATAAGAAGGGACGCAGTTTGGCAATGTTCCTGAACTGACTGAATAACTGAGAAAAGATTTTTTTTAACTGACTGGTAAGGCCTAGGAAGCGTGCGCAGCACTGTCTGTAGAGAATGGGCTTAATTATGACCAAGTTAAGCGTGCTATCCTGAGAGTTTACGAGTTGGTGCTGGAGGCATACCGACAGCGTTTTCACAGACTTTGGAAGACCCGATCAAACCTTTACAGATTTTGCTCGTGAAAAGGGTATCCTCTTTGATAGATAGAGTGCAGTCTCATAAACGGACACAAGAGATTGGTCTGTCTGATTCAACTGCTGCTTCTGTTTTTCCTAAAGAAAGCATGATGGTCCGGTGAGGCTGAGACTGTAACGGACTCCGTGAGTGAGTCTGGCGCTGTTACACCTTTGCCTCTCGCTCACGATGCTTCGATTAAAGCTCCAAGATGCCATCCTTCCATGGTCAAATGTGTGAGACCTACGTCAGTTGCAGAGAAAACAGAGGGGAAGGGCAACCAAAAACTCGACACTTTAAAGAAGGAGTCCTTGAGTTTTAGCCCAGCTGCAGTTCTGTTAGACCATAGAGTGCGTGGTCCACCAAAGGTGTTAAATGAGGAGATAAGTGACGTGTCTCCCAAAACTAACTTGTTGTTTTTAGTGTCCCTGTTCAGGGAGCGATTACAGCATGCTGTCAAGTCGGCGACGGAATTGTTTTCCTCCTCACAGGTCTGTGTGGCCACAAAGAAGGTGAAAACAGTCTGTCTGGCCTATAGAGGGTATGCGCATGATGTCACAGAACGCAGTTACGCTCACTAAGTGGCAGGAAGACGAGCAGCAGTGTTAGCTTGAATCAGCTAAAACACAAACATCACATCTAAAATGGGAAAGAGCTGGACCACTGGTTCTTTGGTAAGCAGTAAGCTGTCGAGTCCGACTGCCTTTAATTTGAGCAAATAATCACTTGTTTTACTCTTGGTTTGCTAAACGTAGCCATGGTAACAGATATTTTGCCACTCAGTCCAGCGTGTTCCGGAAGAGGAAGTGACATCAACGCAGACCCTCTATTGTGTTGCATCCTGTGTTGTTTGATTTACTTAATATAATTCACATTGTCTCTGGTGTGGGCAGAGATCGTTTTTAGTTGATTAAACACCTTTTTGTTACTTTGATTAGAATACATACATTAACTTGTTTTGAGTCATCCCTGGTTTTTCCACCCGGTTATTTATCTCTTTCTTTGTCCCACACCCCTAGACAAGCCGGGGACGTAACAGACGCGATGGAACCTAAGTGCTGCTTCAAAAATTTAGTGAAGAAAATTTCTTCCCGGGATTGGCGACCTGTCCAGGGTGTACCCCGCCTTTCGCCACCCTGTACGCAGGATAAGCGATTGACAATGGATGGATGGAATATCTTCCCAAAGAAGAGGTACAGAGTCAAAGATGTGATGAATCAATTCTTTATGTGGCCACGGAGAGAAAGATCACCTTTCTCTCCCAAGCTGAGCACTTTTCACTTCTTAAATACAAACAAGTACAAACACTACAGCCAATAGTAACTGCAAAGACAAATGGCAAATAATATCTGGAGTATTTGCATACACTCAATGGCTCTTCCTGAGCTGACAAAAGGAAATGCAAATGTATAGAGAGAGATGAGAGAGAGATGTCCATCTACTCCTATCGTCTCATCAATTGGACAGTGTTAAAATCTCACCTCCACCTCCTTTATTGTAGACCAGGACCCTCCGATTAGTAATCAATGTGTACTTACAATCATTGTGTGAAGACTTATTTCTCAGAGTTAAATATAAGTCCTGAGAATCTGCAACCTCAAATTTATTTCTCACATTGGTGCAAAGACAAGTTTATCCATTTTGTTGAGATTTAACTGGAGGAAACTATGAGACATCCAGGCACTAATCTCATTTTGTAAAATGGCCAGTTTTGAAAGTTCACCAGGTTTCACAAATATGTACAGCTGAACATCATCAGAATAGATAAAAGACAGTCAGACTGATGGATAAAGGGAGCAGGAAAATATAAAGGGAGAATCAAACTGCTCCTACAACAGCCCCTTGAGCAGGTGCACAGGATGGGGGGAATATGAGGAGGGCCCACAAAGATATTAGAATGAGTAGACATGGAGGGGCCCATAGAGAACGCCTATGTATAAGGCCCAGAATCATGTACTACACCCCTGCCCTTGAAGAACACCACAGGTCCAAGGAGCACAATCAGCACTTTGTCAGCGATGGCCACAAAGAAGTTAAAGGGGAGAAAAATCCTTCAAGTGCTTTACCAGATATCCCCACCCACTTTCTAACATGATCCAATACAACTGTAGGGTCTATTGTATCAAAGGAAGTGTTTCAACCCAGAAGGCTTTCACCATGACTGCAACAAGATGTCATTTGTGACTCCAAGGAGAGCTGTCTGTGCTGTGCCTCTGATGGAAACCAGACTGGAATTAGTCTAATAAGTTGTCCATGAAGAAGTAACAACTGTACAGATTGGTTTTGCAAAATTTGAAAAGGTTAAGTCATAAGCTTCACAGAAAACAAATGTATTCACTTGTATGCTTAGTTGATCATTATTGTTAAAATGTACTTCCTAAATTAATTTTCTCATTCTCAGCCTAGAGCTCCCACTAAGAGAACAGAAGACAGATACAAGTAAATCTTAATGGTAGTCTGCCAACAATGTTAATCTGCAGCACTACTTTCCACACTCACAGTGGCATTCTGCCATATCTGAGTTTGACAGCTGATACTGTCACATTGTGTGCCTGTCTGATCTTTAGTTCTCAGCCAGTTTTGTTTTAGTCAGTTCTGTATGTTATTTAGTCTTTGTTATAAACTCAGCAAAACAATAAAGGTCCTCTCAATTTCAGCTGCTTTTATTTTCAGCAAACTCAACATGTGCAAATATTTGTATGAACAGAAGATTCAACTACTAAGACATAAACTGAATTAAGTGTCACAGACATTTGACTAACAGAAATTGCAAAATGTGTCCCTGAACAAAAGAAGGTCCAAATCAAAAGTAACAGTCAGTGTCTGCTGTGGCCTCCAGCTGCATGAGGTAGTGCATCTCCTCCTCATCAACTCACCAGACTGGCCAGTTCTTGCTGTGAGATGTTATCCCACTCTTCCACCAAGGCACATGCCAGAACCCGGACATTTCTCGGGGGAATTGCCCCAGCTCTCAAGGGTACCGCACGAGGTAGGAGGACGTCTTCCCTGTAAATCACAGCATCAGTCCGACACGTCAGTCAAGAGCACTTTTTGCCAGTCCTGTCTGGTCCTGCGAAGGTGGGTTTGTGCCCACAGGTTGCCAGTGATGTCTGTCATGGACCTGCCTTATAACAGGCCTGCGAGCCCTCAGTCCAGCCTCTCTCAGCCTATTACGGACAGTCTGAGCACTGATGGAGGGATTGTGAATTATCTTACTGAAAACAGTGTCCTGAAAAAGGGACGTTTCTTTTTCTGCTGAGCTTATATATTATTCTGATCTGTTCAGTCTTATTTTGATATGGTCTGTGTTTGGTAACCTGTGTTCTGTCTTCTCCCCTTGTGATCACTCTGCCTGCCTGTGTATCAGTGTCTGTGTCTGATTGCTTCCACCTGGTCTTGGTCCCGCCCTGCTTGTTACCTGGTGTTAAATGTTTGCTTGTTTCATTCAGTTCAGCTTTTCATGCACTGTCTCCTCTCCTGTCGTGTGATGTCCTCAGCCTGCTTGTTTCATGTGGATTTTGCATTTTGGATTTTCTGTTGGATCTCTCTGTTCGTTTGGATTAGTTATGATTTTGGATGCTCTGGCCACTCGGCTTGTAAGTGTGCTCACTTTTTGTTACTAAATCTTTGAACTGTACCAGCTGCATCCTCAAACCTCCCCACACATCTCCACACAATGGCTATATTTTTAGGACTTGGAGTATCTTTACACACTATATTGAACCAGCTCCATAATGAAACAAAGTCTAACACATTAAAGAATATTATTGAATAAAAAGAAGTTGAAGATTAGGGAGGGAGATAGAGAGAGAATAGCTGGGCTATAGCTCTAAATATAATAAAATCTGGGTGGAGTTGGAAAGAGAGCTTACCAGATCTCAGATGCCCTCTCCTCATCTCTGCTTGAGGCTAGCAGCTGACACTAGCCACCCCCCAAAAAAACTGTTGGTGGTCTAGTTGCATTATGGGAAATGTAGGTGCCAGTTTTTGACAAGGAACCAGAAGCCTAAGTACCTAAGTATAGCCTCACAGAGCCACTAGCACGTCAACTCTTAGCCTTTTTACAAATACTATGGAAGATACATGCTCAGACTGAACCTCTGACTGCTGAAGCCTCATATTAACTTCAGTTAAACATTGGAATATATCATTGCGCAGAACAAGGAGTGTGGGTTTTGTCCACCATCACTTTCACTGTAAGAGGGGCTCTCTTTGCTGCCAGTCTGTACAAGAGAACAGATTACAGCATCCAGTAGCTCCTTCAATTTACATCTGTGCATATCATGTTGTTGTAAGATAGATCCATCCTTTTTAGAACCAGTATCAAGAATGTTTTTCATAGCTTCTGAATTCATTTTAGAGAGATGTTTTCACCAAGAGTGCAAAGCCAGAAAACCAGAGATCCAGAATATTGTTTGAGTGCAGTGTGGTCACCACACACAGAGAGGCAATTGTTCAGATAGGTCATGTCCTGCTATGAATGGAGCATCGTGAAATGAATGAGCATCATAAAATGGCATAAACAAAAGTTTATGATGAGGATTTATATGAATGAAGCGGGGTTCTATCTAACGGAACTACTCTAACTGCCAGGTTTACCACATGTATGATACGATAGACTCACCAGGCGGAGAAGCAGTTTTTAAATACCTCCAAGAAGTGTTCAGAGTAAGAAATCTGCACAAACTGACTGTGCTCCAGCTCCTGAGCCACACGCTCTGTCCTGAATTGTCCCGGTCTGACACTGAGGGAGCATGCACATTGGCCTATTGTCTTCTGACACTTTGTCTCTGCTGTGACTCCAAGCATGTGTTCAGTGGGTGAGGGACAGAGAGGCAGGGGGAAGGACCGCGCAAACTGCTGAAGATCAATTTTAGTGTCTTTATTTGGCAAACGTGAATCTTGATGGTGGTGACGGCAGCATCACAAGTGATGTGCATGGAAATTACTATATGGCTTAAGTACTGTGAGTCAGTCGGTCAACCACAACAAAGGATGAGTCAAACTGCGGATTTATTGCAAAGCAGTTTTTCTTCGATCAAAAAGGTAGGAAATGTGTGTAAATAACACACTTGTCTAAATTACTACTGATAAATCCATGGGACTGTAAGATATGAATGCAAGTCATGAAACTTAATGTGTGAGACTACAAGTACAGCTTTGACCACAACACAGTGTTCTTCCTGGATTCTTTCAAAGAAGCAGGGGGGTGTTCAAGCCGGTTGTGAGCGTGTTGTAAATATGTTTGTCAATGAGGAAGTAGCTGTGACAGGCCCAGGAGGGTGAAGGTGTGGCCTCGCAACAACGGCAACACAGCATGCAGGTAGACAGCATAAAGCCTGATCAGAGCACCGATCTGCTCTGTTACAGGGACTGTCGGCACTTGGACAATGACGCCAACGATCCTATTGTGGGTCCTCATCCTAAATGCCTCGCTCAAGCCCTCAGGTAAGTCACTGGATACTGTTGCCTCCGCTCAGCACAGTGGCTAATTAATAACTAAAGCCTAGGTTTATCCTATTTATTCAAAGCACTTTAACTTGTGGGTTCCTGCTCCGGAGCACAAAGTAAAAAATTGCTCTTCAACAACTATGATATGATGTAATTATTAAATTAAATGAATGTGAAAGTTTTAAAGGCACTATATGCATGTAACGTCCATCAATTTAAGGATAATGACTTCTATCTACTTTTAGCTCAGTTTACATTTTTTACATCAGTGTTAATGGAACATTTAGTGACAGAATGTACACTGGACCTAATGCATTTGCAACATGATTAGAAATGCTTAAGCAGAGTGATTGTGTGCCTTTAGCCTGCCTGGTGTAACATCCTGTCAAACATTGCACACACGTTACCACCTAATAATGCTTCATAAGCCAAAGAATATGTGATGGTTATTACTTTAAACACATTGTTGATGTTGTGACACCCTATCAGAGCAAGACTTTGGACTAAAACAAAGCCACCACCCTCTCAGGTGCCACTGCGTACCTGTCTGGAGCATAACCATGACTCAGAGTGACTTAGTCATTTCCTTTCAAGCAGCGTTCATGGACTGGGAAATACCATCTTTGGTTAAAAAGTTTCTTTATGTGCGTGAGATGACATCCGGGGAGGATGGAAGACAACAGACAAATTCAGAAAGAACATTTCCCAATTTTAAAATTGGGAACTGGTGAAATCAATAGAGAACACAAAAAATGAAGTAAGAAGTTTTATTTCTGTACAGTCTCTTTTTAAATGGCAAGTAAAGGACAGTTGACTCCAAACAAACATTACAGTGTGATGAATGCAGTTGCAACTAAGACATCTAAATCACTAGTTTCATCTGACAATTACAGTGAAATAACACCCTTGTTTTACAAACACAATTTAAACTATTATAAAGACAACCTGGTCACAAGAGCGTAGGTTGTGTTCCAGAAGTGGGGAACACAAAGTTTAAAAAAGACAAAACATAATGTAGACGTAACCTTACAGCACACAGCAAATTATGATTAATTTCATTGCATTTTTGTTGTCAAATCTTGACTGCCTTATCTTTGATTTATGTTCTATTCAAAGATCTGCTGGCTTTACCCACCATTTCCTACATTGCTCTCTGCATAGGTTTGCAAAGACATTTGAGTTTCTCTCCACAAATGCATAATTCCAGCTGAACTCAGCTGAAAAAATGAGCTTTTGAAGCCAAAGACAAATGTCTACCTCTAACTAAATAGCCAATGCACTGTTCTGTTTTACCCAGTTTAATCATTGTCTCCAGTCCAATCACTGTCAGGAAAAATGCCACCATTTGCTGTTATTGAAATGCCTGACGTTATCTGACAAGATAGCATAACATGACCTCAAGCATCATTAGGTGTAGCATGATATTATCAGCACTGCAAAACCTTATAGGGTGCTGGTTTAAATAGACGCGAGAGCTCTGTTTGGTTCTTCCTTTTTCCGTTACCAAGTACATCTTCTAACACATACCAGTATTGGATGTCAATGCCAAACAATGTATTTTTATATTAAATTTGGATCTGGATGCAGGAATTTCACTACCAAACTAGTTATGATGACAACTATTTACTCTAAATCCTTGTTATATACCCTATAACAACATCAATGAGCATATTCTTTCTCATAACAAAGTAATATGTATGTTGTACCTCCACAGAAAGCCACGGTCATGAGTTCAGAGAGGCGAAGGACTATGAGGTGGTTAGACCTGTCAGACTTCACACAGTTAGAAAAAGACATACAGAGGTACGTTTTTCTGTTTTTCAAGAGTTGGTGTCAGATTCAGAGCTACATTTGGGCTGTACTCACATACACAATCAAGCTATGGGTTTGATGTTATTCATGAGAAACGTAAAATAAGAAACAATATACTGTACTGAAAGCACAATTTCACATCTGTCTTTTCCACAGCATCTCAGGCCAGAAACTATTAAGTATGCAATGACAGTGGGAGGAAGAGACATTGAAATGCGACTTGAAAAAAATAAGTAAGTTCTTATTTCTAAAGGCTTCTGTGAAGTATTAGTCACAAAAAAACACATGCTTAATGGTAATAACTTTTAACCAACTTTCAAGGTGTTCATCCAATTTAATTTTATTCATATAACGCCAATTCATCCTTTCAGCTTTTGAAGAAAAAAAAAAACTTGGATATTCTCTGAGATTAAAGTGGTAATTTTTTGAGATATGACCTCTGAATGGTGTAATAGCGAGTCGTTACCGCAGACGTGAATAACAATCTTACTGTATTTAGGCTCTTCCTTAGCCAGCAGTTTTAAATATGATTCAACATTGCCCGCTCTTGCCTCAGTAATACATTTGACTATGGTCGCTGGTGTCGCTAACTTCACCTTTCTCCAAATGGAGCTGCCAGTTGGTTTCTCGGCGGGTGTGTCACTGAGTGGGGAGATTCTGCTGGGGGACAGCTAATCGGAGCTACATCTGGTCAGTCCACCAGCTAATTGCGGGCTGGCTAACGATGTTTTCATAGGTGCAGAGCTGCATATTTAATTCCCTAAGCCACAAGAAAAAGCAACAAATAAATTACACTTGTACCATTGTCACTAAAGGAGGCAAAGGAATAACTAAAAGGTGGAACACCAAGCAAGAGAGACAGGAGAGGGAGAGAAAGAAGCCATTTCTAAGCTAAAGAACGGTAACTAGCTAAACAGAATAGAATGTGATTTGGGATTTAGTGCGAATCGCAAAAAAGGACAAGTTTAAATGTATTGTGGATAATTAGTCACTGTAATGAAAAATCTAAGAAAACTGATTGGGTTTAGTTTGAGCAGCAAAAATATGCTAGCGCATCAGTGTAAACTGGAAATGAGACAGTAAGCTTACCACAGCACGTCTGCACCCCATGATTAACACATCATCCAAGGCCATGATAAGTCACTGCCATTTCCTTTTTTCATGTCAGTGGTTTGTGTCCTAGCCGTTAGACACACCGAAAGCTATGTGTTTTTATTTGATTATTACAGCTTCTGCTTTCCCATAGTACTCATATGCAAATAAAAGTTGAATTCAGTGCCAATTCACAACACAAATTCTCATTGTGTTGTTCACATAGAGCAGGTCTAGACAATACTGTTTGTGATATTATTTACAGAGAGCCAACAATTTCCACATGGCGGCAGAGGCAAAAACCTCAAGCAGAACCATTCCGCTTAATGCAATTCCTCTCTCGCTGTAATGAAGAATCTAACACAGTTGACTGGTTTTGACTTAGAGCAGCAATACACGCTGCCAACACACAAGCACCAGAAACGGAAATGGGTCAATAAGCTTACCGCAGCCCACCAGCACCTGCTCTATATTTAAGTAATTTGGTATGTTTTCCCAGACCCCAAAAATAAGTCAGATAAATAATGACCATAGGAAATGCATTAGAATACAAGCATGATGTCACATAGTATGACATGATGGCCATTTATTTTTATGTTTTCATCATCAGTGAATTACTCACCAAAGACTACACTGAGACTTACTACCAAGAAGATGGAACTCGCCTCACCACAACACCGAATGACATCGTAAGTGTTCTTGTTGGCAGGTTTCAGTTCCCCATGTGATTCAACTCAAATTACTTGTGGCTGTCTTTTTGAAAGCAAATAATGTTTTATGGTTTTAAAATGCTAAGGCAAAACGCCATTTCACTGTTCAATAACTGTATGAGAGTAAGAAAAACTGATTCAGAGGATAGTTTGGATTTTCTTATGCTATAACCCAGTCATCATTCTCATGTCTTTATCAGGATCACTGCTACTATCATGGGAGGATTGTGAATGACAGCGAATCATCTGTTAGCATCAGCACTTGTGATGGACTCAGGTGAGCCCTCAGACCATGCTCACTTAAACCTTACTTTCATTAAATTGTCCTTAAATCACCCTAAAACATGTCACTCCCATATAGTACCTCATGATAATACATATTCACATTACAAACAGAATAATGGAGATAAATGTATTAGCTGGATTAGTTGGGTGGTGATGGTGTGAGAGACCCGGGTTCAATTCCCCACTGTGACCCATCCACCAATGTGTCCGTGTCCCTGAGAAAGACACTTAACCCCTAGTTGCTCCAGAGGTGTGCGTTATTATCACATTTTAAGCTGATTTGGTGAACTTTCTTAGCAAAAAGTAGCTTACATACACATTTAAAAGAAAGACTAAGCGGCATGATCTTGGTTTAGGGGTTACTTCAGAACGTCTGCCCAGAAGTACCTGATCGAGCCCCTGTCTGGTGGCGATGAGGGGGATCATGCAGTGATGACTTTTAACGAGACAAACTTCACACCTGCAGTTTGTGGTGTCACCAACACCAGCTGGAGTTCAGACTTTGAACCACCAACAAGCCGCAGCCGCTCCAGATCAGGGGTAACGCCATTGCTGTCTTAATACCCTTCCCCTTTTTAGTCTATCAGGCTATCTGAGGTTAAATGTGGCATCTAATAAACAAAAAAAAAGAAATTAAAACACTCCATTCAGTCTAGTAATTATATGGTCTATAAAGACAAATCTGGCATTTTTAAAGCTTACAGAAGAAATGATCTGCTTTATTCTTTTGTCCTCCAGGGTTCATCTATTGTCCAGCAACAGAAATACATTGAGCTCGCCCTCGTTGCTGATAACCGTGCCGTAAGACATATACATTTCTGTGAAAAACTGTGGTTTTTAAGTATCAAATAGTCATGTTGGTAGTTTATAATGAATCAGCTGTTGAGAAATGGGATGTGATCTTGCTCTAACGCTAAACATGACGGAATTCTGTTACAGTACTTGAAGTGGAACAAAGATCAGACAAAACTGAGAAACAGGATATTTGAAATTGTCAACTATGTCAACATGGTGAGTCCAAACTTTTGCTGGTCAGCAATTTAGTGTTGTGATGATATCCAGTCTCTAGATTGTGTTTATTCTGTTACATTTCAGCCATTTAGCAGCAATTGCCCTAAAACTTTCCAGATAATTTGGTCTGTTTTTCTGTACACAGAACAATGTAGATGTTCTCTTTCCCATGGTTTGTTTCTGCTGATCTCCTGTTGTTATTGCTTACAGGCATATAAGCCCCTGAGGACCTTCATTGCTCTGGTGGGGTTGGAGGTTTGGTCCAATGGTGACTTGATCACTGTGACCCCCCCAGCCGGGGCAAATCTGGACGCTTTCATGAAGTGGAGAAACTCTGATCTGATAAAAAGGAAACCGCATGACAACGCACATCTTGTCAGGTCTGAAATATAGGACCAAATGGTATTGAATAATGGAAGGTCATTTTAAGTATTGTATTCAAATGTGTTTAGAATTTTTCGCTTAAATACTGAGTGGAAGTTTCCACATCGTGCTTGAGTAACGTGCGTGTGTATTGTATTTCACCCGGGAGACTGTTTGTAGGAAACCAAAAGTACGAGACTTACACAACATAACGTACTGCTTTTAACCCAAACCAGGATCTTTTCCTAAACTCAGCCAGGTAGTTTTGTTGCCTGAACGCAACCACACTCTGAACCTTTCACAACGCTAACCACGTGTTTAACCTCATACCTGTCGCTGTTTTGGGATAAGGTCTTCTTTCGTTTTGGGTATCGGTGATGTCATTTTGGGAGTCATTGGCTGTCGACCTATTCTGTCATTTAGGTATGAGAATGTATTGCGTATTTCAGGGAAGCACAGAGAGCATGAGACAGTCACACAAGGGAAGAAAACAGTCTCTTTTATTTAAAATTTGCCTTTGAATGCCAGTTCCAGATAACATTCTTAGCGCTTGAACACAGGCACTCCAATCATGAGAAATAGGTGTGTGAGCTGTTTCATAGGCTGAACAAACATGTATTTGCATGTTACTTTTGGCTTTCCAGAGCTTAACTCTGTTGAGGCCACAGGATCAACAAGTTTTAAAACGTGGATACTCGGTTAAATTGTCACACTAAACAACACAAGTTTAGTTTAGTCATTTCATAACCAAAGCATGACTTTTACTTGACTTACTTTCAAGACAAAAAACTAATCAAATGAAACAGACCTTCTGAAATCAGCCATGTGTTTGGATTGGCGAGAAGCATAGATATGGATTTGTCATAATTAATGTATAAGTGTATCTCATTTTATCATTCCTTGTCTTTCAGTGGTATTGACTTTGAAGGACCAACTGTGGGACTGGCGTTCATTGGAACTCTTTGCTCAGATCACTCTGTTGGAGTAATACAGGTAAGTTACTTGTTCCTGTGTAGGGGGATAGATTTAACTCAAAATTATTTATGCGAACAGATCAACAATCCATCTGTAAATGTGTAATCTATATAAATGAAGCCGGGACAAGTTACACACACAACTTCAAATACGATTTGCAGGGTTTCTTTTTATTGTTTTCCTACCTTCAGGGCTGCTACTTTTATGTAAACTGAAGCAAAGATGCAGTCGCTCCACTTGAGTAACTGGGGAGTGTACAAAAACAAAAAAAACAAAGTGGCCGTAAAATGGTCTTCTTTGAGTCAAAAATAGAAACTCAATACTACTTCTGCATACACGTGGCAATGATGCAGCAACTATTACATCTATAACAGGAATACAGCCCAAAGTTGGCACAGAAAGCGGCATAAACACGGTTACAAAACAAATACGGCAGTGGCACCTCTACTAAGGGGACAAAAAAAAACAATTACAACACTGCACAGTAAACATTACACATCAGTTGTGCTAACCACGAAACAATGCGTCCATACACAGATAGATACATTAATTATACAAATAACAAAACAACATTCATTAGTTAACTTCCGTTTCATACCTAACTCACGGATAACGAGCTCTTGTGGCCCACACGTTGGGTTTCTTCCACAAGCATCGGCTATCCTATACGCAACAATTGCATACGATGTGGAATTTAATACATACATCATACACCACTAGACAAATACATTAACATATTGTGCGTAATAACTCACAAGAACATAACATTATTAATAAATGTTCTCACCGATAACAGCAGCAGCCAGTCCATGCAAAATAGCGCAGTTTACTTCCTGTATTTTTCGCGGCGCCCCTTGACCTCTTGGCAAGCACGCGGCTGTTTGAGTCAGCAACCCTCTATGCCCTCTGCTGTCTAAAATCAACACCTGCAGCACTCTCGCTACAGCAGAAAATTGTGCAAATAGAGGTTTTGTAACTTGAATCTCTTGTATATTTAAGGTTTGACTATATCACCTGGTTACATAAAAGACCTTTCACAAATGCAGCAAAAGATCTGCAAATACACAAATTCCACAAAAAAAAAAAAATAAATTGTGAATGTATTAAATTAATTTACAAATAAATGAAAAGTATTTGATTATCTTCCTAAAATGTAAAACTTTTTTTTGTGGATCTCAACTCTACACTTGTGGATTTACATTTACACAGTTTTCAGCCAAACTCTCTAACAATCCGAACAAACATCCACTTGTATTTGCCATTTTCGGATAGTATGCTTGCTGACAGCTTCAAATCTATCTCTATACTGTGAGATGGGAAGATTTGTTCCATTTGTTATTTGGTTAGTATGTTATGTAAAACATACTCTTGGCTGGGTGTTATATTAGCAATATTAGCAAATTTATATTTAGCCACGCAATATCAGGGTTCACCATTTTAGTGCAGAGTGAAATATCTCAACTATTTGATGGATTGCTATGACATTATGCACGGATATTCATGGTCCCCAGAAGATAAATCCCTCTGACTTTGGCAATCCCCTGACTTTTCTTCTAACCATGAGGTTGACATTTTTGATTGGCTTTTTCAACAACTGCCAGATGGATTGTCATGATATTATGTGCAGACATTCATGGTCCCCAGTGGATACATTCTAATGATGTTGGCACTCATCTTGTGCCACCAGCAGGTCATTGTTTTGAATTAGCCAGTTAAATCTTTTTTAAATCTACTGAATAGATTGGACCAAAATAAATGTTTTCAACCTTGGTGACCCCCTGACATTTCCATAAGGGCGTTAGTGGTTTGGACCCAGACTATTGGAGGGAATGCTGTGAAATTTGATACAAATTTGTTACAAATTTTAGAATCTGAAAACAATCCAATATTAATAATCCATTCTTTAAAATGTCATGTTACCAAATATTATCAATAAGCCCTTTTTATCTGCCATGGAAATAGAGAACTTTCTCAGTAAATCCAAAAAACATAAACATTACAGTAATTGGAATATCAAGAAACACATAGCAGATTGAGGAAACTGACATTTTTATCATGCGTTAGCAGGCAAAACTTGGTGCATGTTTGCTTTAAACAAATGTAAAACAGAAATAAGTGACCACATTTTTGAGTTCCACTCATATAACTGGTGGCTTGACACCTCTCAGGATCACAATGACCGGGCCATTGCAGTGGGAGCGACACTGGCTCATGAGATGGGCCATAATCTGGGCATGGATCATGATGACTCGAGCGGCTGTGTTTGTTCCGGGGATAGCTGCATTATGGCTGCAGCACTCAGGTAAGAAAGGTTGTTTAAAAAAAAAGCCTCAATCAAAAATCATTGACTAAAGTGTGTCTGTCAGCAAGGGTGATCTTATTTTGTAATCTCTCCGTGTTGGTTAAAGTTTGAAAATGAGAAAAATCTGGGCGTGTGGGGAATGGAGCTTTTTCTGGGAGGATCTGTTGAAAGGCTAAATGAAGTAGGAGCAGACAGGGTATCACTGTATTCCCTGACCGTTATTTGACCAGCTGTGGCTCAAAGAATGTGACAGTTAATAAGGAATATGTGTGTTTTTTTTTCCTCAGCTGGAATATTCCTAAGACTTTCAGCAGCTGCAGCACCAGTAACTACGAGAGATACCTGACAAGCCGCAGCCCCAGCTGCCTGCTGGACAAACCATCCTACAAAAGTCTGGTGACTCCCTCTGTGTGCGGGAACGGTTTTGTGGAGGAAGGAGAGCAGTGTGACTGTGGCACTGTGGAGGTAAATGAACCAAACAAGCATTCGTCCAAGAATAATTTCACTTTGCAATATTCCACTGATTCCTCTGGAAGAAATGTATTCTCTATCTCCACCCTACTCTTTAGGTCAAGATGCTGAGGAGCAGCTCAGGGCCCAACATACATAATGAATTTTATTTATATAGCGCCAAATCACAACAGAACAGTCCTATTCAATAAGGACCATATTAAAAATGGGGGGAACTGGTTTTGCAAAGCGTGATCAAATTTAGTCCGCTTGTATACAAATATGTTTCTAAAATATAATGTGATTTAAATACTTATGACTGAACATAAGAGGATCCACATAGTTAGGGTTTCACTCTCTGGCAACAGACTTTTTGATTGAATGTGGTGGTGAGGCATTTTTCTCTTCACAAACATTTAATCTCCCTTAAGTTTTTCAGTAATTAAAACGCCTTGCTGCTGCCCCTCAATATTATTATGGTATAAAAAAAGGAGGCCATCTCTGTGCGTGCTCACGTCTGACAGAGGGTCTGCCTCTAGGTCATTGATTTAGCACCTTGTTTTCTGTGTCTGATCTTGACTCCACCAGTTCTTTTTTGCCCAGAGGTATGATGAGAATGAGGCTGTTCGACATGCACCAGCACATGTATTTCTAGAACAAACGGAGTCTATCTTCTCAAAAGTAAACTGACCGTGAACAGATATGACATCTTAAACCCTTTTTTAAAGATTTGATTGATAGCATGCATTGGTCATCCCTTTAACTTTTCTTTTAGTGCACGGCACTTCAGTGTACGCTTTTATATTTTCTTGCAAGTTGCCCTATTTTGAAAAGACAAGACTGTGTTTTGTTGTGTAGAGGTATAAGGATAATAAAGTAGAATTGACTTGAATATTTACAGTGAACATCTGCAGTTTACAAACTCTCATTTTGGGCTTCAGAACTGCTGATGCCTTTTGTACATTCCACCTTAACATCAGTTGTAATGCAGAGCAAAACAGTCAAGCAACTTGTAATCTGAGAAGTTAATTCCAGCGGGAATCGTGCAGAACGGTGACTATGTCCAGACCTGTCTTTGCTCTGTTGGTATTCAGCAGAGGCACAAACCACAAAAGTCAATCTCTGGTTGGCCCACACCGCCTCCCATTTAAAAAATAAATAAATAAAGCTGTGGGGTTGGTCTGGCATGCAGCAGGAGTACCTTGCTGCTGAAGATTCCTGCCCTTCAATAGATGGCTTATTAAATATTTAGTGTTTCATATGAAAAAAATCAATGTACATTTTGTGTGGAGTTTTAAGTCATATGGTAATGCATGACAGTCCTTGCCGTGTGCCATATTCTTTTCTGATTATCTTGATCAAGTAACATAGGAATACCACAAGAAAAAATGTCCAAGTATTATATGTCAATTAAACAATTAATTTCCTGGAAACTGTCGACTTAGATCAGGTTCTGGCGTAGTGTCTGCCAAGTTGCCACAGTGTATATTTTGACCTAAGTTAATAAAGTAGTAAGAGAGGGCAAAGCTCGCTCTTACGTTGAATGGAAAAACAAGATTTTTCAGGAAATACAGGAACATTTCTGAGGGGAACGTAACACAAGGAAGTTAACACAACAAAACAGAGAGAAGGATTAACAACAGCCTAATGAGCTCTGTGTTTTTAGGAGTGCCCCAACCAGTGTTGCAATGCCACCACCTGCACCCTGAGGGAGGGATCACAGTGTGCTGATGGCGAGTGCTGTGACAACTGTAAGGTGAGCAAATGTGAATTTAGCTGGTGTACGTGCTAAAGTACGGATTACTTTCTATAAAATCTTCCTTTAATTTTCCTTTACAGTTATATAAATTGTTTGATCTGCTGCAGCCCTCTAGTGGGCATTTAATTTATTACAAATATGAAAATGATAACAATGTGACTGTGAAAGGTGTCACTTTGCTCCACTAAAATGGAGATTGGCTGTTTAAATCAAAACAGTTGATAGTTTAATGACAAGTGAGGTACTTTGAAGGTCAGATTTTATGATGCTAATGCTTGTTTACGCTGCCACAAAGTTACCAAAAACATCAGTTATAGCAGGTTGAAGGCAAGCAAAGTCTGATGCAAAACAAAAGTATAGTTTCAAAAAGATTTCCCCACAAACCATGTCATACTTTAAGATATATTGTGTGTATTGGCCCCAAAGGCTCAGTAAACTCAGTTAAATAAAATGGTGCCTAAAAGAGTGCAGGTGCATTTACCATCCAGCACCACAAACCAGGCAAAGCGAGGTATGGTTATTTATATGTAGTGCTTCACATACCGGTAGACTTGAAAAGCATTGCACACAGAAGTAAAGTCATCCCTGACAAGATGTGTATTGTGATCAAACGGACTGTGACTCCCACTTCCACACAGATCTTGCCTCGGGCCAGGGTGTGCCGCAGGAAGCAGGATGAGTGCGATCTGGCAGAGTACTGTGATGGGAAGAGTGCCACTTGTCCTGAGGATGTCTTTAGTGTGAATGGTATCCCATGTAATGGAGACCAGGGGTACTGCTACAATGGCCAGTGTCCACAGAGGTCAAACCAGTGTGTCAAGATGTATGGATCAAGTGAGTGTCCATGCATTGTTTTGGTGTAATTTGTGTCATTAGGGCCCGAGCACGAAACATGTGAGGTCCCTATTGAAAATGAAGGGTGTTTTTTTTAGTTTTTTTCTTACGCAAAGTAACCTCAAGTTTGGGGGCCTAAACATAACTCACCAAACTTTGCACATAATTCAGACGCGGGAAAAACTTTCGTGTATTATGGGTTTCCCGCATGGTCGTGGCAAAATGGCTCGCTAGCGCCCCCTAAAGAGCAGTCCCCGGACAAAGTTTCACCTACGTGCACGAAATTTCTGTGGTAGGTGTATCATGTCCATACGCACAAAAAAGCCTCTTGGAGTGATGCCCAACACCCAACAGGAAGTCGGCCATTTTGGATTTAATGGTCATTTTTGGCGATTTACACACTTACACTAACATGTACTTTAACGAACTCCTCCTAGGGATTTAGTCCGATCAACTTCAAATTTTTGTTGTGCACTCTAAACCCATTGACAATTAAGTTATTCAAACGGTTATTACCAGTCGACCAGTTTGCCCATGGCGTGTCATCGAAAATTGGTGATTCGCCATGAAACAGGAAGTTGTTATAACAATAGTCCCGCCCTAAATACATCCATATACCAATATTTACTCAATGTCATGGCGCCACCTGCTGGCAACCGGAAATGACACGTTTTACGCTGTAATGTACTACTCCTAGCAGGTTGGATATATCAACTTCAAAACCCATAACACATTGATGAAGCTATGTTGTAAAACTTGTGAGTTTGCAGTTAATAGCGTGAGGGTAGAGTGATGGCAAAGTTCCACGCTTCGCCACGAAACAGGAAGTTGTTGTAACTTGACTGTACAAGGTCAGATCTGTACCAAATTTTATGTTTAATAAGAGTCCTGCCCCGAACACATGTACATGCAAATATTCACTCAAAGTCACAGCGCCACCTGCTGGCAACAGGAAATGACCTTTAACAGAGTAGCCCCCGCCGCACTTTCCACCTACATGTATGACATTTCTGTGGCACACGTATCATGTCCAGACGTACCAAAAAGCCTCTTGGAGCGATGCCCTAAACCCAACAGGAAGTCAGCCATTTTGAATTTTATGGTCATTTTTGGATGATTTACACACTCGTACATTTATGAACTCCTCCTAGAGAATTAGTCTGTCCAACTTCAGATTTTCCTTGTCTACTCTAAAGCCCTTGATGATTAAAAGTTGTACAAATGGTGGGTTTTCATGAAACGGCGTGCGCCCAAAATCGATGATTCGCCATGAAAGTATACATGCTCACATCTGCACCAAACTTGACGTGCTTGATAACTGTCCCGCACTGAACACATATACATGTTCAGTTATAGTCATAGTGCAAAGTGCTATGTAGCGCCACAAAGGGGACACAGGAAGTGATGATAAACACATTTGTGCAGCGTCCGAAGCCCATGGCAAATTTACAGTCACACCAGCAGAATCTGCAAGGTTTAATTTTACATTACACTTCGTTGGGGAGAATAGATCATATTTAAATAGGATAACTTTCCTGCTGCCTTAAAAAGATCCTTCATACATATGAAAGTCTATATTCTCATGTAATCCTCTTCTGTCATAAGGTGCTATAGAGGGCCGTCCGAACTGCTATGATCAGAACGCCAGAGCAACCTACTACGGCTTCTGCAGGCGCCCCGCAAAGGACACCTACATCCCCTGCCAGCAACAGTGAGTCTCAGTAAAACATACAGCAGGGTAATAATTCTGAAATGGACCCTTACTAGTATTCTTTGTAATTTAATATGCAGATTCATCAAAGTAACGTGTCTGTGTTAAAATAAATTATATTATATAATATTTTTACAGAATACATTGGCTCTGAATGTGAACACATAGTTTGACCCTCTCTTCCTTTGCAGAGATTTGTTTTGTGGGAAGCTTTTCTGCCAAAACGGTAATGACAACCCAAACTATGGCCGCATGGTCAGGATCGGTGACTGCAAGGCATCTTTCTTTGAAGACTACACCAAAGACTATGGCCAGGTGGATGAGGGGACTAAATGTGGCCTTAGTAAGGTAAAAGGCTCTTCTCATTCTGTTAATGTGTTTTCGGTTTTGCGATTGCATCATAAATAACCAAGAAAACAGCTCAACATTCAGCTGTTTGAAAGCACTAAATCTACACTGTGGATCAGAGTAAGCAATGTATGTCACTGACTTGTATTTTTCAAGGTGTGCAGCCAGAATCAGTGTGTGGATCTTCAGACAGCTTACAGAAATACAAACTGCTCAGCAAAATGCTCAGGTCATGCTGTAAGTACATGCCCACACTACTCAGAATTTAGTTTATAATTTTTTTTGTTATATATGAAACAAACCAATAATTATATGTGCTGACAATAAAATAAAAGTACATAAGTCAGTTGCCTCTAACACATGCTAATTAAGGTGTGTGTGTGTGTCTGCTGTAATATCAGGATTACTGAATTTATTTGGCCCTTCAGATAAAAAATACTTGTTGCCTATATATTTATGTTGGAAATAGAAAGAAAGAACGAGCAGAGATGAATGTTGTTGGATCTGACTACTAAATGTAGCAAGTGTGGCAAATCTTTTCTATAGCAAAATGGCAGCGAGCGAATTAACATTTGTGACGAACCAAACACGCTGCTAGTTTGCATGTTGTGAATGGCAACATGCACTGACCTGACCGGGGTCACAGGATTTCTTTTGTCGTCTTCAGGTGTGCAATCACAGGAGCGAGTGTCAGTGTGAGCCTGGCTGGATGCCTCCTGACTGCACTTCAGAGGATGGATCTTCCAGTCTTCATTCTACTGGTAAGACCCACCTACAGCTGGTCATTAACACTTACAGTACACAAACTATGTATACTTTCTGCTCAACTAATATTACATTTGATCACCGAACCAAACCGATTTCTCTTCCATTTCTGCAGGAAAAATCATCGCCATCGTGGTGACAGTTATACTAGTGGTTTTAGGCATCATTGCAGGTGCTGTTGGGTTTATCTGGAAAAAACGACAAAGCCCCGTTTTGCCAACGTAAGTGATCGCCACCTGATCTTGGTGTGGCTATGTTTCTATAAACTCACCTTTGCCAGCGTTGAGAGCCAGCAGTTTAAATCTCTCTCTTTATGACAGCCCACACACCCAAAGGAAAAATCCAGCAGTAGAAAGCTCCGCTTACCGCTTAAACAAAGGGCCAGTTCCTAACCAACCCATGCCGGTGCTACAGGTAATGTGTTGCGCTATACAGTTGAGATATATCAAATAACTATTCACTACATTTCCTAACAATACTTGACATTATAGGATGGAAGGCCAAAGCCCAGGGGAGCACCACCTCCACCACCTCCAGCAGGGAACAGACCAAAACCCCCGGCCCAGAACTACATAGCTGCACGTCAGGTAACTCCTGATTCCTTTGAAGCTACATAAGAAAATCCCAGACGACATAAGTTTTGTATTTCTCCTATTGCCAAAATCTGATTTGATGCCAAGTCAATGATAAACTTGCAGTATCAAAAATTGACCTTTTCACTTGTAAAAACAATTTGCACTGCACACAAACTGGGTATAAAGCGTGGACTACGGTGTTGTGTTTTTTTTTGTACACCTGAAAAGGTTAAAGCAATTGTTTGACATTTTGGAAAATACACTTATCGATAAACAAATATTGATACACTATCATCAAATATGAAGCTACAGTCAGTTAGCTTAGCTTAGCATCAAGACAGGGAACAGGGAAACGGCTGGCTCTTTCCAAATGTAACAAAATTGGCCTACTAGCACCTAAAAAGCTCACAAATGAACATGTTTAATCTGACACTGACATCTGCCAAAAGATAGTCCTGCACCAGTAACCCCCATAAAACCACAACTTTACGCTTTTACACTTCAGTTTTTGTGCAGACTAAACAAGCAAGCCATAACGTGTAAGTGAGCTTTAGAGGTGCTGGTAGGCGGATTTTGTGATCTTCAGACAGAGCTAGGCTAGCTGTTTGCAGTCTTTACGCTAAGATGAGCTAACTGGCTGCTGGTTGTAGCTTTACATTTAGCATACAGACATGACAGATTATCAATCTTCTCATCTACCTCTCAGCGAGAAAACAAGCAAGCGTGTTTCAGAAAATGTCAAACTATTCGTTAGAACTTGGTCAATGAATGCATATCTTTTTGTGTTGTTCTCCAGGCCCTGAGGCCAGTACCTCCTCCAATTGTCTGATGTCTGACACAGTGCCACACAGAGACTTATCTTTGTCCACTGTGCCCAACGATAGGCTGCTGGCAATCCAGAGTAACTTTTATGAAAGCCGTCCCTCTGCAGTTTTCTTTACTGCAGTGCTGTCTGAAGCGCGGGTGTTTTGTACCAGTGACATGCAGAGTGAGCGAGGCACAAACTGGACTCTGTCTTTCCTGCTGAAATTTGAAATTGTTACTTGTGAGTACTGGTTATTACAGGGATGAGCTTTTTGTTTTTAAGGCACTTTTTTTATTCTATAGAGTTCGGGTTACAACAACAAACAGCTCTGGCCCTGAAAATGAGCCATATAATTTTATACGTTATTGTCACAATAATACAGAATATTGCACAAGACTGAACTAACAGTAACGATAGTTTGCTAATAATTTATATAGTTTTTAACTTTCAAAAATGTCCTGAACTGCTTTTATTTGATGTGATGGTCTGAAATTTCAGAGTCAGGTCCATTATAGTGTAACAGAAAATATTTAAAGATTTTCAGATTAAAGCATACTCTTATTAGTAGGACCGCCACGTCTGCATTTTTTGTTAAAGCAATGCGTTCATTAAATAATACTGTAAAATGAGAGAATGCAAGAAAGGAATAATGTTGGTGATTTTTAATGTATGTTTTTAACCTCTTAAGACACTGTCCTCATATGGAGACATGTTAGGTTTTAGGCTCCCTGCACTGTATACTTCATTCTGGTTAACTTGGACCTATTGTCCCCATTAGTGGACACTTGCCTGTGCCCTCTAGGCTCACTGTTTGCACAGCCATGTTCTGTTGTGATGTCTGTTTCTACTTCCACACTCCAACTAACACAGAATCAAGAGTTAAGACAAATATACATGTTTGCTGCAGGTCTAAGATCAAGTTAATTTCCTATTGAATAAATTGTCATCATCCCTTTCATGTTCTAATGTTAGGGCACTTATAAACCAAAACATCTGACAGTGTGGCACCTTATCATTATTACTAATTTGGTTTATGTAAACAGATTTTTTGCATTGGACACTTTGTCATATTGCTGCTTGTCTCAAGAGTTCACTATGTGAACATGTACATAATGTATAAAACCTATTGAGGTCAACACGCAGGTTTCACATTAAGTACTGACTGAAGATGTTTATTGTTTTTAAATCTTGAATGACTTAATGTTGTAGCAATACTAACCAAAACCATGAAACTAGTGAACAGTGAGGATACCACGCAGCAGAGGTCTCGGCGAGAAAGATTTCTGTATACATGTTATAGTTTTGCCAATGACTTAAAAAACACTGTATTGCTTTCCTGTGCTGTGTTAAAGGAGCGTGTAACCCTGGTGGTAGTAATCTTGATGTTAGAAGGCCTTTGACTGAATATTACTCATCTATGCTTAAACTTTGCCCATGAGCAAGGCATTAACCCTCAAGTCTCCCTGTGAAAGGGGTGGAGTTGCACTGGGCAACGCAGTGAGAATGTCTGATGTATCAAAGTTTTGAAAACAAATGCTTATCATAAACTAATAATAGGGGGAAAACACTTTTTTGTACCATTGTGTGCAGAACTTAAATCTTTACGCTGAAACATTTTTGTGACTATGTAATTATTCTGAATTAAAATGTCTACAAAACAACTAGACTCATGTTTTACTGTATATTTGTGGGTGCTTTACATTCCCCCAAATGTTTCTAACAGTTTTCAAACCCAGAGAAACACCCTTTTGGTTGCCTGTCTGTGGCGTCATATCCCTTTCCCATGCGTCAGCATTGTGGTTGTCTGTTAGTGGCTGCTACGGCTCAGTGTCCAGTGTCTTCAGGCAGAAAATGACTGTTGCTACTTGTTTTGTTTTATGTTCTGTCCTCTTGGGCAACAACCTGTAAACACATTGACATCAAACATTATTGCTTTATGAACACACCATCGAAATTCAGAGACCTTTATTTGGAGGCACTAAAGTTTATAAGTTATCTGATGCAGCTTTAAGCAAAATAAGATCCAACATCCAACACTAATCAAATAAAACACTGTATTTGAATTTTATTCTCTTCTTTCAAGTGATACAGCTAAGTAAAAGATTTCATGGCCTTGCATGACAAGTACGGTACAGCTTTTTTTTCCCCACCCCCCTTTTTTTTAATTTTTTTTTTTTTTTTACAGCTATTATAAGATTCTTGATGAACAATATTTCTTTACATTCTGCAAGATATGTATAGGACCTAACAGGAGGTCAGTATACTGTACGGCTCACCCAATAAAAGCCTTACTTTCAAAACTAATCGTAACATCACAGTAATGAATGTAAACCGAAATACTTCAGGAAGCTTTCCCAGAAGTCTACTCAACATAATGGCGAACTACAATATTTTGGAAATTTGAACGATGTCAAGATTAATATTACCGACATTTAATATTTAATCATGTGTGAATGAAAGTGTCCTGGCTCACCATTCATACACACACGTACACACACACACACACATTTGTTCCACTATCCCTGTGGGGACATCTCACTGACAGAATGCATTCCTTAGCCCCTTACCCTAAGCTAACCCAATTGTAACCTTAACCCTAAAACCAAATCTTCGCCCTCAAAAAGCAGTCTCTACCCAGAGGGCGCTCAATTTTTGTTCCCATAGTGACACGAGTCCACATGGGTTTAGTGTGCATTGAAGTCCCCACTGAGATATAAGAAACATGACGCGTGTGGCCAAGGAGGCCTGGCACATGGGCACAAATACCTAATTAAAAAAAATGAAAAGGGTAAATTCACAAGAGAATAGCAAATCTTAAAGCTTATTTCTCCTCCACCTTCTTTAAAGACAACAGAATTACAGTCAGGTGTGTCGAAGCACCAGTTGAGGTGGTAGCATGTCATAGTAAAAGCGGGTTAAAGGGTTGGGTTGGGAGTCCGTGTGAAGAGAAGTGGAGTTGATGAGACCAGCCGAACAGCTGAATACTTAAGAGCAGAAAAATAAACACACATCAGCAATCTTAGCAAGTGTTAATGGTCTCCATCTTGGTATGACCACCTGTTGTAAAAAATAATATTGTATATATGTGTGTGTGTATCTGAGTCAGCCATGGTTGAGATGATTACAGTACTGTTAGGCCTTCTAAACAGCTGTTGTGTGGCGACTTTACCTTTTATAGTATCACCTTGCCACGAGGAATGACTCCATTGAGTTTCGGTACAGTATGGTCAAAATGCTGTCATTTCAGTGAATGTCATTTCCCTTATTTGAATGGTTATCACAACTCCAATAAAGATCTGCATTCTGAATAATCAACAGTAGATGGAGACACTACTACAGCTTTAGAGAGAAAGGAAAGCCCCAAAAGCAAACCCCATATTTTTTTGTGTTTGACAATAAAACATTGAATCAAACTGCCCATAATTCTGTTAAATACATTGAAATCTCCTAAGCAATAATGAACATCAGTCTGTTCTGAGGACACTGTGGCCAGCAGTTCCACTGCCTTCTGAGCAAATATGTCCTCATTTACTCAAAATGACAACTGAAGAGTTGGTTTCTTGTGCCGTAATGTTCGTGTGCTGTGCTCAGAGGTCGGCTTAACTTCAGTGCTTAAGAAGAAGAAGAGGAAGAAGAAGTGCTTCCACCAGAGAGGTGGGAGCATTGACTAACTGATTTAGTCTGGTTGTGGTGAGAGAAAGAGATGTGCTGCACTGTATATCCCTTTTTTGGTTTAGCGGAGCGAGAACATCCTAGTTGCCATCAAGTCATAACCAGCAAACAGCCACCAGCAGCAACTATCATTGCACACAGAGTGTTAATACTTCCTCTTAACAGTTTCATTCACAAATAATAATTATAACAATAATACAGGAAAAAAGTTTGTTACTCTGGAAGCGAAGAAAAAAACAAAAAAACCCATTCATCTTTTTGGGGATTCATCAAAGTTTTGTGGAAATTTCATAAATTAAGACTAGAAGTCTTCATTAAATTTCTGCTTTAAGTATAAAATAGTAATTTGTGATGATTGTTCTGTTATGATTGACTGCCTTTCACCTTTCACAATACATACATAATTTACCTTTCAACTGACACACACATATAAGCAAACACTGCACTGTATGTAGAACCTCAAGTGCCTAAAATGTCTCGACAAGAACCAAACGAGGCTGCTGAGGTTGCAGTATTTGTACTTCAAATGTTCCCTTTCCAAACACATGCAGAGCACAAATAAGAAACTTGTGTCTAAAAGTGTCTCCTGGATAACAAGGGCTTCACCTATCTGGATCAGCTCAAATGTATAAAATGTGTAAGTTGGGGCTTACGGTATACATGCAAAATGTCTTCATTCAATGATTTGTTGCTATTACACAATATATCTAATATTTAATCTTTAATAAATAAAATTAGATTTTTCCCCAGATAACACATCAACTTTGTCTTTTTTTTAGCAGCTGGAATTGTTTTCCCAGTGCTGTGGCCTTCTTCTTTTTTTCTTTAAATCTACCAATGTGTCCGCTTCTTTTCCCTGCTCGACTGTGGGCGAGCAGAAGACGGACAGGCAGTTTCAGTGGGGGGGGGGGGGGGGGGGGGGGAGAGAGAGGGAGAGGGGGGGGGCTATGAGTCAGGGGGTGTGGGTTGTGTGAAGATGGTAGGATGGTGTTTCTGTTGCCTATCCATCAGTGCCATTCTTGTTAGGGGTGTTGGTGTTGATCGTGGCGGGGTCTGGCTGTTTGCCATCTTTGCGAGGCGGCATCCTCTCGTTTATCCTGTCGAGGCCGCGTGCCTCCTCAAAGTTACGAATCTTCCTCGTGGGAGAGAAGCCTTGAATGGCTGAAGGGCACAAGAGACACCAAAGAGAAAATGATCAGAAGCTGGAGTGATCTCCCTACCCCTGTCGCTGTAAACCCTTTTCTTTAGCTTTCTCGATTCAATTCAAATCAGCTTTATTGGCATGAATGTATAACAGTATTGCCAAATAAATTACATAAGAACAATTAATTTACATACATTTCATTAAATAAGTAAATAAAACAGTAAAAGTTGTGTTTGTTAATATATATATATATATATATATATATATATATATATATATATATATATATATATATATAAAAATTCTGTAAAAATAAATATTAAAAATAAAAGTAAATAAATAAAACAGTAAATGAAAATAATACATTAAAATAAATAAATATAACAGTAAGCATGTTCTCCATAACACAACAGCCTAGCACAGTACAGATGATCAGTGTGTACAACACATGCACGGGTAAACAATGACTCCTAGTGTTCAAACACCAGTGGGACAAGCTACAACAACACAACACCTCACACTTTGTAGACTTACGGTAACGTCCCGAAACAGCCAAGGGAACCAGACGTAAAACGTGTGCAAATGAAAAGCAAACTTGTAAGGGACTGGGAAACACTTTTCAGTCATTTAAATGATCAAGTTATTAACCAAAATTTACTATCTTAAGTGAAGGTTTTATATGTGGATTAATAGCCATACAAAGTAGGTCCTCAAAGGTACTCTTGCACAACCAGATGTCTGTGACAATGAAACATTTATTGTTCATTTGAAATAACCACACTTTAAGTCAGTGGTTCCCAACCAGGATTTGTTCCCCAGGAGGTAATTATGCAGTTGCAGGGTACATGGACAGACTTTAGAGTAGCTCTACTAAAAAGAAAAAAACCTGTATGAAATCAATTATGAAAGAAATATATTATCCACATATTTGTGTTTAGGAGAAAAATAAATAAAAGTCATCTGGAGTAAATCAACTATCACAATAACTAGTAAGCTACCAGCTGTGCTGACTGCACACTACACTTATCTCAGTATCCGCTTAAATACCTGAAAGCCCTGTGTTGCAATTAAATGTGCATGGGCAGTAAGAGGTAGCTGAAATAAGTAGCTAACCATAACGGATACACAGAGATAGCTAAAAGTAGATGAATGATTGAAAGGTCTAGCTTCTGCCACTTTACGTGGTAGTTGCATGAATGCAAACTTGATAAAACCACCTCAATCACGGAGAATTCATTTTTTTTTTTTTAAATATCCACTTTTAAATCAATTCAAATAAACACAGTTGGAGCATGACAGGTGGGGTTATGTGATCTCATACATCAGATGAAGAAGGTTGGGAACCACTGCTTTAAGTTATCCTGCCTGAACATGCTGCCGCTATCTGTCGATGTGTTCTAAATCTTTCAAATTTGGTTTATTGGATCAAATTGAACCACTGTTGAACCACTACCTGCCACTATCAACCAGAAGGTGTAGACAGTATAGCAACAGGAAAATTGTGTTAACAGGATTAGCTTCTGAAAATATCCCAGGCGGGGATGACACTGGTCTTATCTTAGCCAGGTCTTAGAAGGCTTTTCTCGGTGTAGGGAGCCACAGTTGGCAAGAAAAGCCCAATGTGACCACAGCCGGGAATGCCTTGTCAACAAGGGACAAACCAGGTCCTAAACCTGATACACATAACCAGGCCTTTATAGCATGGGCTTTACTTTTCTAATTGTTGCACCTAAAAACAATAGTTGTTTGTTGTATTAGTAATAATGTTACGCAAGTTTCTTTTCAATTAATGTCACGTTCATCCTTTCATTTCTTATCTGTGATTCTTTTGTTTCTCAACTTCCACCCTGTCAATAAAAAGTCCTAAATAAAATACTTTTACATTGATGGAACAAGCGTGATCCAACAGACAATGATGAGGCAAGAGTAACCAGCAATAAATTAATATACAATAATTCACTAATCCGTGATATAAAAACAGTGGGGACACTAAATGAACACCGTGGGGTTGTGTTTAAAGGGTGAACAACACACACAAAACAAAGACATGAGATTTGATCAACACAGCCATGCGTACCTTTCGCTTTAGCTGCCTCAACCGTAGCTATATTAAAAGGGAGATGAGGACAGAGGGGGGGGGGGAAAGGGAGTCATCAAACGCAGCAAGTACAACAGTAATATCGAACTGTAAACTCTGGTGTGATATCCTGAGGAAACACACGTGGCACAGTCATTATGGATGCAAAATACACAGAGGCTGTAAAAACGTCAGCAAAACACCTTAGTTAGCTAGAGACCTGTTGGAGATTTAGGTATATAATGTATGATCTCCGTCCACAGCAGCGTTTTAGAGTTGATCTACATTAAAACGACTGAAAACGCACATCTAGTGGCGGTTCATGTGCACAGGGCATGCGCGTGAGCATGAGCTCATCATCAGAGCAAATGTTCAGTACATGAAGCAGATGGTCTGTTCCGAAGTTACAGAAGATCACTAAATTCACTAAAACGCCCTCCAAAGTTTCAAAACAAAAAACGGAGTCGGCAGCGTTTCCAAACTTCTCTCTTTTAGGTCTTCGTTTTCGCCATTTCAGTCTGGACAGGAGGTACAAACGTAGCAAAAGGTCTCCGTTTGAAAACGCAGTAGTGTAGATGGGGCCTTAAGGTGGTGTTGGTGTTAAAGGGTCATGAGGACTTAGGTGTGGAGACCTGGGGGATTTGGCTGAGTACTAATAGACTAAGACAGGGTGATAGGTGTAACAATGACCAGGCAGGACGACGCCTTTGTACAGCGCACCCTTACAAAGAAGGTGAAGCTGCAGTACACAAGTACAACCACACACTCATTTAGTCACAAACGAACAAACTGCTTCAATCCAAAAATGACAAAAAGGATATTCATTATGGAGGAGAATTTAGAAATACTCCTTTAACATAATTAATATTTCTTCATTAAAATGGACGTTTGGCATTTTGGAACCCCTCAAATGTGATTACACAGCCATATTCCCTTCTGATTGGATGTACAGGTGATAGAATATATATCTAATTCAATCTCTAAATGACAGTCATCTGAGCGCATTAAATCTCATTTCTCAGGAAATGCTTATGCATTTCAGATGAATGAGAGCTGTGTTAAGATAGCAGCCTGCAGATGCTGAATTGAAATCGCGTTTCCTCTTCAGCACAGCGTTATGAGGCGCTTCGTTATTGGCGACAGTTGGGAAAACAGAAACAGCAGCTTTGAAAGCAACAGCTGCTGGGGACAAAAACAAAGAATCGACTGCGATGGACAAAAATACACAATCACTTGCCCTCGCTTTGTTCAAACCGGCCTAGCTGATCTGAAAGCTGTGGCTGGGGGAGCGGACATGGACAATGACATTCTCCAAAAGGTCACCAACATGTGGTTTCTTCTTTGATCGCTCCGCAACTTCTGTAAGGCTCCAGCATGGCAAAGCGCGACTCCCGGCATGTCTCTGGTGGGCGAGGCCATCCACTGACCTTTAGATCAGAGGGTCAGCAGCCACTTTCAGGTGACAGCTTGACCTCCCCGACCAGACACCACAGCTGAGGCTGAAAACTTGCTCGAGTGTAAGCCCAACCAGTGCTTCCTGTCTCGGGCATGCCGTCATTGATCTAGGACCCTTCAAAGGGACTCGCGGGACAGGGGAGCTCGTCTCCCAAAACTGGACATCAGGACAGACAGCTGTAGCTTCACCGTCAACAAAGGACACAGCAACATCCAGTGACCGATGGTTGTACACAAAAAGGTATCATTAAAAGCCCCTTTTCCACTGCACAGTACCAGCTCGACTTGGCTCGACTCGCCTTTGTTTGGTTTTCCATTGTGGAAAAGTTGTACCTGTGCCGGCTTCCAGGTACTTTTTTTTGTATCACCTCCGTTGAGGTTCCAAGCGAGCTGAGGCGATACTAAAATGTGTTGTTAAAACACAGCAGACTGCAGATTGAGAATCGTCACTATTCACTGCTTCATCATTGCTGCACCAGACAGAGGCCAGCAACAGAAAGTTTTATATTTTACAGTTTTCGTATGGAATTTCGTGAGAAATCAGCTGTGTAGATTTTGAATATTGACATTGACATTTTACAAGAAGCGATGGCAGGACAAAAATGTGCTTGAATATTTTCGGAGTTGAGGAGCTCCGCAAGTGGCTGCGGGGGAAGCCTGTGCCGACCCGCGGGAGGAGCCCTCTGCTCCCGCCGTCACACAGACCGCTGCAGCAACAACAGCAGAGGAAAACACAGCTGGAAGGTTTTCATACCGCTTATCTGTCTTTACATTCTGAGGAATGTTGAAACATTTTAACTTAAAAAAAGAGAAATCTGTGTGGATCACTGGTGTGTGTGTCGCATTGAACATTGCGGCAGTTGTGTGTGGCGTTGCTATGACGACCAGTACAATTGATGAGTACTATCTCTGGGTACTATCTGCAATGGAAAATGGAGCAGGGCCAAACCGAGTCGAGTACTCGAGGCGAGCTGGGACTGGTAATGGAAAAGTACCAAAAGTGAGATACTGAGTTATTTTGTGATATGTGTAGGCCAGTGCTGGACAGTAACGCATAATATTATTACTTTCCCCAGTAACTGTAAAGGATAACTTTTACAAAACAGTAATAATATCACAGTTACTAATCCAAGTAACGCTGCGTTACCAGAACGCACCATCTTTGACGTGAATGCGTAGCAGGTCGGGGGCAGTTCAAGTCAAGAAGCCGGACCTTATGTTGTTCAAGTTGGCTGCTGCTAAAAAGCTAAAGGAAGAAATGAGAACGAGGGAGAGGTGTTCTTTCCACAGCTGTAAGTATCACCATTATTGTGCCACAGTCTAAGATGTAAAGAACATTGTTTTATATTTTGTAAAAATACAGAATACTGCTCTTATAAATACATGTGCAGAAAAACATTTAAAGTAATATAGTAACGTAACAAGTAACCTAACTTGTTACTTTTAATACCCAGCAAAGTAATATTATAAACTTTTTAAGGAGTAACACTGGTGTAGTGTTAAAAGTTACATTTATGGTGTATCCTCTCTCTTTTCAAGCTGCCTCATCAACCTCAGTTAGATATTACCCACATTTCCCAGAATGCCTTTTTGCAACCCACAGAGGAGAGATTTCTCTGAGCTGTATTTTTATAGATGTAAACATCAAAATTACAGTCTTTTTTGGACAACGATAGTGCTCTAGTACGCCCCGTACCACAAAACAGAATTTGTCATCACTGACGACGGAGGAGACAACTGTAATCTCTGCCTCTGTTGGAACTGGATCCATCCCTGTTTTACTTTTGACCACTGTGAAGAATGGCCCTAGCTCATTGAGTGAAAGACTTTCATTTATCACAGATGTGAAAGTGTTCTGCTATCAAACTCTACTGTAGCTGCACTGGAAATAGCATTTCTGATTCTACTTTTGGCAAGTTCTTTTCCAGGAATAACACACAAACGTAACTTAATTGCTATTTTTGGTTTCAACATTTTGGGACAAACGCTTATTAGCTTTATTACAAACAATTAGCTAAGAACATCGATACCACTCACTGTTCCACGGGTAAATTGTTTTTACACTTTTGTATGGATTATGCAAACAAGGTAAAATGCATTAATTTGTAAACTTGGTGCTTGTAGGAAGATTGTAGGATTGATGTAAGAGGAGCAACAGATCATGTAACACCTCCCCCTTGAACGCCTTGAAGAAAAAAATAAAAGGTTTACTCACAGCAGTGTAGTAAAAAACACACGCTCTGTGACAAGTGGTGAGGAAATTTCCCTAGGGGTGTAGGCCATGCTAAATGGCAGCTAGCGAGGAGGAATCAAAGAACAGCGTTGTGTATGACACACACTTACCGGTCTGTAAGGTCTGCTTTCCCCCTGACAACACTCCCAGAGGAAGAGTTCCAGTCGGGGTCAGGCCCTTGAGTGTTAACACGTTCTCGCTTTCCTCCCTAGTCCACAAACAAAAACACAGGCACACAGGGTACACACGCAGATTACATTTCAGTAAACAGGGCGGCAGCACGCACACCTGGTGGTTACGAGACTGTTCTGTTACCAAGAGGTCATGAGTTCAATCATTACAGGATATTTAACCTGCGCCCACTCACTGTCTTAATAGAGATACGGACTGTCAGCTCTGAATGCCTCCAGCCAAACTCCTAACACATGTCCTGGTTCTGTAAGTGGGTCAGTGACAACTGGCAGCAGTACTTGAAGGATCGCTTACACTTTTATACTTGACTTTTTATGGTTTATCTTTTCCTCTTCTATTGAGTTAAAAGAAACTGAAACGTATCTTTTGCTTTTTAAATGCATCTTCTAACGTACAGTGACATTATATTCATCTGGCAAAGGAATGTGTTCATCTTGAATATTCAACAAATAAGAATAAGACAAACCTTTATGAAAATACGTCTTGACATCTAGATTTTTTGTGTTCTTTATTTCACCATTTCTAAAATACCCTTTCAAGATATATGCACAGTTCTGAAAGACAGGATTCTCTGTGTCTTGCCCATTTGAAGTAGCGTGACAAGGCAGCGGCAGCAGCATTAATCTGGAATAATGTCTAATGTCATTATCCTGTCTGGGCTCACTGTGACTCATCTCGTGCCAGCTCATTAATCCTGGCAGGGCAACAATGTGTTTTCAAACACAACTTCATTGTGCGCTCAACTGACTATATTCATTCGCGTCTTCCTCCAATTTGGTCATTTTGACCCCCAGCCCACTGATCTATATGTACATGTACAGAAGCCTTTTCCAGTCAGAGTGTTCCCATGAGAAAAGAAAAGGTACATCAAAGGGAGAGTATTAATGACAGGGTCAGACCTGAGGACTGAGAAGACTCGGGCCATTTTCCCCACAGCTCGAATCTTGTTCCGGATGACCTCCTTGCGCATCGCAGAGGTTCCACCTGGAACAAGTCCAGAATGTGAGGTTAAGACACAGCGTACCACCTTGAGCTTTTACTACTACTGTTTACATCCTTTGCTACTGATTCTTTTCACACTTATTTAAAATGAACAATATACTGTATAAAAGAGAACAAAGGATGAATGGGTGATATTTTTGAGAGATGAACTGAGGGTTTAATAGTGCGTTTCAAAGCATCGCCGCTGTACTCCAGGGAGCAGAACTCCCTCATCAACATCAGACATGTGGGACGTAGGCTGAATTATGATGAAGTGCTGTGTATAAATCACCTCACATGAAAAGTATAGCTGCCAGCATTGTGAGCATGTCAATTAAGTATATGCCAAGACTCATTTTAACTTCATCCAGAGAGGGGTTTAGAGAAAATACACAACCCTAACGGATGAGCAGACTTACTACATCTACGTATTTTTAGACTGAAGAAACAAATAACTGACATTCAGGGCTGATTTACATCTTTAAATTTCAAAATGATGAATCTAGACTAAAACTAATCAAAATGCCTCATTAAAATTCAAGTTAAGAATTTCATTGCTCTCTCAGTCTTACCTTCATATAAGTCATCTACTTCTGACATGAGCTCATCGTCAGAGCAAATGTTCAGTACATTCACCAGCATCTCCGTCACTGCGGGGGAGAGAAGCCACGTTAAAACCTGAGACTGGTACCAAACCCATGTTTGCTGCAGGGTTTGTGTGACACTGCCTGGCTTCACTTTGGATTTGTTTTTTTATCATCAGGAAAAGAACAATTCCATCAACTAAGAAATTCATTGATTGGGTGGATAAAGGGTTGCATTTATGTCATTTACAGTGTCCTCTCTAAATATAAACTTTATTTCATTAACTTCAACAGGCAGCTATAGAACCAACAGCTGCAAAGTCACCAAAATACCATATTGGCAAAATCATGCAGTAACAAAATAACTTTTTAGAACTAATAATGTAAATTTCTAGATTTTAGGTTCACAAATGCTCCCGACACTCTTTCAGTTTTTAGATGTAAAAAAAACACAGTGGCACACTTTTCAAATTTAGTAAATGGGCTAACACATCTATTTTTTTTAACTGAACTTCTGAGTGATTTATAAATAAAAAGCAACATTTTACCATTTAATATTTCATTGTGTAAGGTGTAAGAATGAGCTCTAGCTGCAGATTGGAAACCTTGATGAAAAGCATAATTTATGCTGGCCCATTTTAAAATTCTCCTATTCCATGACTTCATGGAGACAAAAAATCTTTTTCTGGGTCAGTCTGGGTCGTTATATTCCACAAAGTCAATGAACCATAGGCAACTCAATAAAGAGTTTATTTGTGGCTTTCCATTCACAGCTTCCAATCAAACAACAAACCTACCTTTCTCTCCAACAAAAGGCAAAGACCATGTGAAGACATCCATAAAGTTAGGCAACCAGTAAGGGTGGGGGGAGCAGTTGAACTGTCGTATGTTCATCACGTTATTCTCATATTTTAATACAGCAGCTGACAATGGTAGAGGGAAAGACCGGAGGGGAGAGATTAAAAATAAATAATAATAAAAAATCTAAATACAACCATGAGATTGAGAGGAAAAAAAGACAGAAACCTTTGTTGTTGTAGACATCTAAGTAATTTGGAGCTGAAAAGATTGTGATTAATGAAGGGAAGCCTGTGGTCTGGCTTTTTCTGTACATCCGATACCTGTAAGCCCACAAAGAAAGAGACTCAGAAATTTTCTATATTATAAAATGCTCGAAATGAATCAAAACATTGTCACACTACTTACCCTGCATCCTGTGCTTCATGTGCTCTTATTACTGACAGCAAGTTATTATTTACCAAAAAATCACAGACTGCTGAGTAACTGCAAAGAGAAAGAAAAGCAAATCTAATCAAAACTCATTACAAACTTAAACCTCTGAAAGAATGTCATGAGGCCACTTCTGACTTCACTGACTGTTGTTTGCCTAAGGAAATACTTTCATATTTATTTTCAGCATGCCATGCCCTCTGGCCTGTTGAGCTAGGGGTTTAAAGATGCTGAGCATCCAGGGCCAGGACTCTGGTATTTATGGGCTCTGCTGGCCTGTCCAGGAGCTGGAGACTACAGCCAGAGAAGAGGGAAGACGGCAAGAGAGCAGGCGAGCTCAGCTGGGTACTTTTTTACTGCCTTTCCTTCTTTTACTGCCCTACTAATCCATTAAAAATGCTCAAGATAAATTAGTGGACAATAAACCTTTCACAGATCAACATCAGGCCAAGATGAATGCTTTCTGGCATTTTCCACTTCAGCTGATTTCAGTTCAGACCTATTTGTAAATCCATTGCAAAGTTTGCGTGTAAAGTCCTAGGTTCTAACTACCAACTTTGTCTTATTTATATGCGCATCCATAAACGTGGGTTTCAGTTAGTAGTATTCATACAGCTAATAGCCATTATTTGGTCATTCAGTCTAACATCAACACGTTTTGTCATTTGAGGCATTGTGAAATGCAAAAACAGCATTTTAACCGCGTGTTTATTGTAACTAATTACCTTTTTTACTGTTCGTTCTAAATGAGTAGCTAATTTAACATTAGCAAGCTAACGTTAGCTTTGTTAGGTAGTTCAGTCGGCTATGCAACAGTTATACTTGTTTCTGTGTGTAACAAGACTATTGGTCTGGACCAGCTCATCTCCACATGAGAACGAGCTTGTGCGCAGCAACCTGTTTTAATTTGGTGATGCTTAAATGTCCGCCACATAAACACTTGTGTTGTAACTAGGCAAAATCTGTACTTACGAACAGCTGCTGCAACCAGAGTTAAGCGGACTAACAATAGCTCTAAAGTACTCATATCAACAGATGAAGTTGTTCTCATAACAACACCTGAATTGCATGCAGGTTTGACACCATATATGTTTACTTATCGTGAGAGGAGTAAACATATGTCTCCTGACATAAACGTTCTGACATGCCTGCCTGTGCAGGTGCTATTCTGTTTTATTACACATAACTACCTGACTGATCTTTCCCCACTGGGAATCAGCTGTTTGAATCTGTCGCCCTACAGAATTACAAATGAGCCATTTTATGTGCTATCAAAATGTGTGACTGTTAATTATTTCCGGTCCTATATCCATTTAACATTTTCTGAACAAGCTGTTTTTATCTGTTAACCTGTTTTGAGAGGGCCAGTTTTGAAAGTGCCCCAATAAGCTGTCTGACCTAGAAAAGAGTGAAGCTACATCCTCTCACCTGTGCTGCAGCCTATTTTCTATTTTATTTTTTGTATTTGTTCGAGATTGCTCTACAAAAATCAGTCTATTTGATTTGAAAAAGATAAATCTAAATAAAAAATAAAGTGTTGTATTTGTATCTGCTGTTCTGAGGGTTTTTGTTAGTGCACCTGTGGAGTTAAGTGAAGCTGTTGCATGAGTTATGAAGGCAGCGATTTTATCTAATACCTGAAAAAGTACGAGCAGCCTCTGACAGAGTTATGGTTGAAGTGTTCAGATGTCTTCTCACTGCCGTAGTCCTCACCAGGGTCAGCCCAAATCAGGTCACACATTGGCCCAAATGCTGGAGGCTCTTTAAACCTGTCTAACTGTTGAGCAAACACAGAAACAGACTTAGTAGAGGTAATATATGGTTTATACTCAATTATTAGATACAGGAAATACAGGTATAAAGGGGTTAATAGACTGCAACACACATTTCAAACCAATATTACCACAACTTCATGTGTCAGTGGTCGATCACTTACTTTCCTTATGTCGTCTAGGCAGTTGATTTCTGGTGAGAGTCCGCCGTGTACACAAAGGAACTGTTGGTTGAGCAGGGCAGCGAGGGGCAGGCAGTCAAAGGCCTCCATGCAGGCGTCATACACCCGTTCAGAGTATTTAATTTTACCTGCAGCAAACGCATGGCAACAAGTTCAATGTTAAAACTCATTCCACATAAGAATATTCTGTGATTCTTTTACTAAACAACCACAAATTTTAAAACTTCTGTTGCATCTGCTTATTCCGGTGATATATGAAGTTTGGTGATATCCTGTCCCTGGAGGGGGATACCTCATCTATTGAGGTTTCTTCCAAGTTATTTTTTTGAGAGAGAAGAGGGGGGGAATCAAGGGTCTAAGGACACAGGTTGTCATATACTACAACTAATATCACAGCAAACGTGTGATACTGGGCTATATAAATAAAATATGACTCGACTTGTTAGAGATGTTGTGAAGAAGTAGCGCAGCTCCTCTGCCAACAGTAGGACTGATGATTGTTTGCAGGCTGTTTCTGCAGTGTCACATGCACAACTCTGCAGGTCAAATTAGGGCAGGAGGAAGTCGACGCCTTACACGGCAGGGGCTGCCAGAACACAGCCAAGACAGCACCGTGTGTGTGACGACTGAACAAATCAATGCTAGTATCTGTAGTTACTTGTGTACAGAAGGACGTAGAAATTTTACATAAAACACAATCAAACAGCTCATCCTTAAATGAATGTTGCCTAATCCTTCTGGTTGCAAATACAAAATACCACCCACCTACTCACTGGAATAGAGATCTGGTGCAGTTTTTGTAGTTAGATTCCACAGCTCTATTGTGTTATGAGGCCTGGCAGCCATGTCGAGAGTTGCAAGTTGGATAACACACTTCGAGTGTGATAATTTCTGGATGTGAATGTTGCTATAATGTGCAGCAAAACTGACTACAAGCAGGTTAAGGTTATTCATGGTTAAGGTGTGATGTGTGTCGTGACAACACATTATCACTGTTTTTTTCATTTCTCTTTTCTTTTTTTCTAACAAAAGACTATTTTACAACTATTATCAGGTTTGTGTTAACTTTTTTTCCTAGCTTTATCTAATTATTCATTTAGTCTTTCTTCATTTTCTTTCCTGACAACATGTGTTGGTAGGTGGGCGTTGGGATCTGCTGTTGTTACCGAGATGTTCTCTGTTGTATCATTTGTTTTTATTAGACTGCTACTTGACATCTTTTGTGTCTTTCTGAGTTAAGTTTAAAATCTGAAACAAAAATGTCCAAAAGACCTACCTCTAACAACAACAAAAAACATAAAAGGGAGAAAACAAATTCAGTCTATTATTGCAACTTTCACAAAAGCCATGGTAGGTCACAAGATTTTTTATTTTAAACATAAAATGTTTTTAATGCTTCAAAGCACAAACCTTTTTAATACCACATAGAATGCCATTTAATACCTGTACCATGATGGAAAATCAGTAATGACAAGAACCTAACCTAACGACCTAGAATTATTTATTATTATACAGCATTTTTTTCATTGTTTCCCATCAGTGTAACAACAGTTCCTAATTATATTAATGATTAAATGAATGTGACCTGGAACCTAATAAGTGGCATTAAATGGATGGGTTAACCAATGAAAAATGAGCACCTAATTTAGCTTCAGTTTAGTTTGCCAGTTGTTCAGTTTCTCTGTTGTAGGCACACTTGTAACCATAATCAACAACAATACTAATCTTGGACAAATCTATAATCTGATCCAATGTGCTGAAATGATGAGTCAGTTCGGCAGTGTTTAAATTAAATAATATCAAGGAGCAGAATTGCTCCTGGTGATTAAGGCTTATCACATTCAGTTTCTGAGCACTCTTCTCTCCCCCATTACATTGCTTCCTCATCAGTGCCTGCTGGGTAAATCCAGCAGGCACTGATGGGGAAGCCCTATAAACTCAAAATAAGTAGCTTTGTGCAGAAAGATAGACTCACAATTCATCTAAGAATGGATTATTGCCCCTACCCCTAATGCTTGATCTGCTCACATGGTTTACACACATACTCTTGACTGCTTTCATTATGGCAAAAATATATTTAATTCTTTAGGTAATGCACCCGCCAACATACACCACCTAAACCACTGAAAGGTGGTACAGTGCGTAACGATACAGTTTGTGTGTGTGTGTGTGTGTGTGTGTGTGTGTGTGTGTGTGTGTGTGTGTGTGTGTGTGTGTGTGTGTGTGTGTGTGTGTGCTCGCAATGAGGTGGTATGTGGGTGGAACTGGGGGGAGATGTAGTGAGTGAAATCTATTTGCAGCTGGCAAGGTTGTCTTGCTGTCTGCCAAAGTGTCTTTGTTTCGGGGTGTGCATACTAATGTCTCCACACCTGCTTCACACACTAAATTGACACAGATTGAAATCTGTGTGTGTGTGTGTGTGTGTGTGTGTGTGTGTGTGTGTGTGTGTGTGTGTGTGTGTGTGTGTGTGTGTGTGTGTGTGTGTGTGTGTGTGTGTGTGTGTGTGTGTGTGTGTAACTGTCTGAAAACCATCAGCAGCATGCCTGGCTGCTCTATACGCTCGAGCAGTTTGTCGTCTGCAACATGAAAAGGGAAAAAGACTCCATCTCCTCTGCAGAGTCTGTAATGCTGATTAACTGCCACGTCTTGTGAAGGGACTTCCTGATCCTACAGACACTTCCTGGCAAACATGTCCTATTTAAGGGAAGCTAGTCACTGTATTAAAGGGAGTGAGTCATCTCACAGTTTCCACACGCCTCTTCTCTGGTGTGGAGATGCTGATGTTTCTTAAAATCGTGTGTTTTTTAATTCCTCATTTCATGCCTTTTGCGTGTGAAAATAAAAAGGGTGACAATTAACCTGCAAGAGTGACTGCAAGAGCAATACTGCACTTACATTGTGAGTACCATGCCATACCCTTACACCCGGGCTTTGTCTGAAATCTGAGACCTGACTTATAAAGGCCACTCTGAAGTGGTACAGAGAGCGTAGGAGCATATTAGACTGGCCGTCATAAGGCTGAGAGAAGCACTGCACTTACATTCCTGTTTGAAGGTGAAGTACTCTGTGAGGTGCCGGCACTCGTGGTTCCCACGCAGGAGGAAGAGTGTGGTGGGGTGGTTGATCTTGAGCGACCAGAGGTAGAGAACACACTGGGAGGACAGAGAGCAAGAGAGAGAAAAAAATGCGGGGAAGAGGAAAGGCGAAGGAAAAAGTCAAAGATGTGCACTGATGATTATGCACAAAGCTTGAAAGACAACGCTGCGAGAGCGCTGCGGATGATTCGTTTGCAGGATTAAATCAGATCACATCTCAGCATCACTCTTTAAATGCCTGGCCTTGTCCGAACAAAACCCAAAGACAGAGTCTACAATGCCCACATTAGAGATGACAGAACCAGAGAATGACTGGAGTTTTTGCCTGAAAAATGACAATCGACAAATCTAGAGATCAGCTAATTGTTAAGCTCTATCGCACGCTAACCTCAACTTTGTCTAATGGTCATCAGTTACACCTCAGCACACATTTTCCAGTGTGGAGCCGCCCATCTGCAGCGGGTAGCCACCAAGAAACTCTAAAGCTACCCATACAAGCCCTACTACTGCGGCTTTAAATAACTGCAGTTACATGGACTTTTTCAACTAATAAAAATGACATACTCCCACATACTTGTCTCTGCTTCATTTGCCTTTGTTTCTGTGGGACACGGACCTCGATCAAGGCAAGTTAGCTGAGTTACCGTTTATGATCTGTGTTGCCGAGACAAGGAGATTTTTAAAAGTGGAAACAAACTGATTCCTTTCATATTCTCTAAACACGTGCACAAATAACTCTGGCGTGCCACAGAAAGATTTGGTATTCCTTCACAAATTCATCTGAGGAGCAATAGGATGTTTTCTTATGGCCATATTAGAAGCTCTAGCCCAATTAAAAATAAATAAATAATAATAATAAAATAAAAAAAACACACAATGAAAAGCAGACCAGCATTTAAGAAGAAGACATACTTTATTAATTCCGCAAGGGGAAATTCAATGTTTTTTTTCACTATTTGTTATTACACACACACACAGGTCTGCAATACACACGCATGCACAGACAGGAACTATAGCAACAACACATGGAGAGATGTCGGAGTGAGGGGGCTGCTACTTTACAGTTTAGCGGTTTACAATCCAAATAAGCTTTCTTTCTTCAGCGCTCAGAGCAGGCACTGCTCAATGGCTGCCACTCTCAGCCCACTCTTTTAACATGCACCAACTATGGCCTGCTATTAAGTCACTGCAACAAGAAGCCAAGGTAACCACAGTAAGCAGGTGTGTCTTCATGTAACTGACAATGTAAAAAAGTTAATCAAAAATAAAATAAAATAAAAGAGGGAGCCAGGGACTACCATATCTTATTCACTTGTTGGGAGGAATTGTGAGGTGTGAAGTGTGGGTAAAGGTGTGGAGGGGGCTGTCGGTGGGACTTGATCTTTCATGCGCGGAGGCGGAGAGAGGGACACGGCTTGGAGTGGCCAGAAGCTGACATGGGTTTTAATGAGAGCCCTCTGCTCTGTGTTCGAGCCTGGAGCGGTGGGGTGGGGTGGGCAGCCCGTGTCCATGTCTGCCACACAGAGGTTTTGTGCCATTTCCCTTTGTCTACCTTCACCTCAGACCCAGACACCCACACACATAGATACGTGCACACACACTTCTGCCTGCGTCTGGTGTGTATGGAGGGTTGCTGTGGCTGGGAGAGTTAGTCCACAGACACACTCTCTTGGATCAAAAAGAATTCACCAAGTAGATCAGGAAGAGCTCAGAGAATGAGACGGCTTGGTCACATGCACTGAATTTTGACTTTGGCAAATTGCTAGCCTGCAAAGGTAATACGCCATTTCAAGAGGCTACAGAGACTCTTTATGTTACCAAGGCAACCACATCTTGATACCCATTTTCCTGTATCCGTCTTATGTGTTTCTGCGCTGCGGCCTTCCTTTAAATTGTAGAGGATTTTCAGCCCTGCTAGAAAGAGCAAACAGAATCTTTACATCAGCAAATCAGGGAAGGCTGCTCCCGCTGAGACTATTCCATACCGTCGATGTTTGACTATAATCATTCCTTATGCCTGAAGATGGTTTTGACCAATCTAGGACCAACTGATGATTATTTTCTCAATTCAATCAATTAATCTAATTAATTAATTTAGTTTATAAAATGTCAGAAAATACTACCCTGTAAATATCCATATTTTATGTGACCATCTGTTCAAAACCCAAAGAAATTCACCTTACTAAGTAGCAAATCATCACATTTCAGAGGCTGGAACCAGAGACTGTGTGTCATTTTTGCTTTAACTCATCGTTTCGGCTTTTCATCCAATCAGGAAAACTTAGTACGCACTGCTTATGTGTTAATTTGTAAGCTACAGTACGGTGGGTAAGCGACAACACGTCATCCACTGCCAGGTACTCTTAGAAAACATAAGCAGATAGTCTCTTCAGGAGCTAAATGATCCTTGCTGAATTATATTAGAATAATTGCTTGACTGCCTATCATGTAAACATAAAGTATGCGTTCCATTACTTTTAATTAGTTGCTCCATGTTAATTCTGACGCAGTGTTGACAGCACTCCTCTCTGATCACACCCGTGCTTCGCTCCCAGCGGGTGGAGGAACTCTGGAGTGACACTGATAAGCGCCGTGGCTCAGACAGGCTCAACGTTTTTTCGAGTGGAGAAGAGGTCATCCGTCTCTTTTGGGATGGGAGAGCTCAAAGTGTCACTTTTCAACAGAAACACATGGGGAAATAACCCCAGTGCCAATGTTTGAGGTCTTCAGCGGACACGGACCCTGTTAGCCTATCATTCCCTATGCTGTTTCAGTCCACTCCTTTCATCTGTGACATTTCACCCACCTCAGCGTACGACCCAGTGCCCATCAACAGGGCGGTCAAAATGTTAGCACAAAACATTCCACCATTGCAACATTTTAGGAGTACACACATTTACATACATACAAATTAAACAACAGATTAATTAAGCACTGCCTAACAAGAGCAAAATGTAAATCGTTAGAAATATTCACACAGGAACAATCTGAGTTCAATGTGTGTTGAAGAATGATGATGCAGAGTCATAACTAACACAATACCTCACTGTGATTAAAACTAAATGGCACTGAGTCTTCAGGATCACAATACTCCGACAATACACCCTGGCATGGTTACAAATCTAGATTATTCCAGATGATGATGGCACCATTTCTGGCTTCTTTTTGTCAGCGTCAATGCTGAAATAGTTATCTACACCTTACAAAACATTTGTATTACTGTATTTTTCATTTTGACTGACTGATTTCAACAAACTGTCTCTTGTTTTAGCTAATCACAGCTAACGTTTGATGCTTAAAACAACTGTTCACCTAACAGTCACAAACCAACATGTAATGAAAGCATGACTGTGAATATGGAATATACCAATACAGGTGGACATCAGAGGAGAGATTACACCCCAGTTCTCTTTCTACGGACGTTTTCATACATTATTTGGGGTCTCCATTGTAACCATCATGAATGCCCTCCGGCCAGGGATATGCAGCTCTCTGTTCCAACCCTCCATCTTATCTGTAAATGTTCTACTAAACATGTATGAACTGTGCTCTTTGAAATTGTTAATGAAATAGAATTTCAAACAGCAAAACATTCAAGAAGCCCTGAAGTAACATCTTCAAAGCAGTACTGCAGTAACTATTCTGACCATAGGTCACCACCTTAACCATCCTGAGAATAACAATGGCACACACGACCATCCAGTCCACCTTTATCTTATTACATCATTTAATGGCTTTAATTCACATGCACTGCACCAGGAGACAAGCAGCAGAGTGCGAGAAGCCCACAACACACCAAGAGGTCCCATTATGATCCAACTTTATCTGACAGAGGTACAGTTTAAAGCTCAAGCTGTGGTCAAAACAAAGAGATAAGATAAAAACATCACACAGCAGTACTGCAGGGCTGAAATAATACACTCACACATAAGTGACTACCGTAAAAAATTGAATAATAGCCCGGGCTTTTATTTTCTAAAATCACTGAATTGACCCTGTCTTAATTTGGGACAGACGTCCATATGGGACAGGCCTTTAATTCCTTTTGCACAAAACTGAAACTACTATGAAACAGTTTATTCATTTCAACAGAATAATACTTCAAATAATCAAATACAGGTCATTCATTTGATCTAGCTCCAACAGACGGCTTATGCGCTTTTATTTTGAAGTAATATAAGTGTGGCTGAAGTTAACAGTAAACAATGGAATTCACATGACAGGATTCACAACCTGGATACATTTTTATGAAAAGCTTGTTTGATTCTGTTGAAAGGTGGACCCTTACAGACTAAAGGAATATAAATAATCAAGGTTCGAACACACTCTGAGTTAACGAGTGGACTTAACAAGCGCTTCAAAGGTAACAGCAGTCTACACTTTTTTTCCTTTCCTCTCTTTTACCATGCAGGTTGCACCGGTAAATTTATAAGAATTAGACTTTGGGGCTTGTTGTTTCCGTTAAATGCAGTGAATGACTGAATTGTGGAGAATCTAACTGATCTAACGACGTGCAGCATTGTCCATACTGACACACTGATCATACGTTTAAACATTAATATTTGTGTTCATGATCTAAGCAGCTAAGAAGCAGCTAAAGCGGGTGACCCCGCAGGGTTCAAAAGGTTTTTATACATTCAAAGAACCAGACCAGGTGTTTATTTGTCGAAATGTATTCCCACACCAGGCCAGTAAAGGAGGTAGGTGGCTATTAACTGAAGTTTTACGGTATTAGCATTGTGTCACATTTCAATGCATGTTCACTACAGCAGAAATGAGTAAGAAATGGAAAATGTACATGTAAGGAAATGAAAATGTACTGAAACGATGAGACAATGCAGGCAAAACTGCATGAAAACAGTGAAGATTGTTTACTGTTACACCCACACAATATAGCTTGTCCAGCAAATTACCGCATGAATACGATTTTCTGTCACTCATAGGACAACAGTGAGAATTCCACAATCTTAAAAAAAAGTTTACCTCCACGTGTTAAGGAAAGGCAGCACTTTTAGAGTTAACTAAGGGTGCCCGTATAACCCAACACATTTAAAAAAAAAAAATCAGGCCTAAACAACACGTTTGTATTGTTGTTTCTGTGTAATGTATTAAAGTGTCTTCCCTGCCGTCTTCACAAATGGCTTTTATTTAACTGCAAAATAAATCTTTTCAAATGAACAAAATGTGAAGACTCACCTCAATACTGAAGTATCCTCGATCTACGTAGTCACCGAGGAAGAGATACCGCGTGTTGCTGGGTGATCCCCCCACTTCAAACAACTTCATAAGGTCAAAGAATTGGCCATGGACATCACCGCATACTGCCAAAAGACAAACACGCTGCTGTTAACGGCTCGTGTAACAACCGCAAGGCACACCGATATTTAAAAGAATTGTTTTCTTAGTCTGGATATACATGTTGGTCTTCATTTATTCTAAAAACAGCCACACTTACAAAGAAATAAAAAGAAGCAGCTACATTTATTAAACTGGCAGCTTCAGGGCATGGTGTACATTAACAGTTTTTCTATTCCATTCTAGGCCAAATGTAAAATCAGGATTTTGTTCAGTAATGATTCACCAAAACTATTATATTAATCTCGCTGATGAAAATCATGATTTGAGTTTTTTTATCAAACATTTTATCCAACTGGAGGACAGTTTGTTAACAAAAGATCTAAAGATTGAATATCCTCGTTACTGAGTAAACGGTTTTACACAATCTTTAAAGTTGATGATGTGTGGCATTAGCAATAATAGCAGAGATATTAAACATACTGACAGTGGCGGCAGGACTAATGCGGGTTTGATGCGACTGAAGGGTTTGATACTGATTATTGTTGAAGCAAGAGCAATTTAATTTTACTTTTTAAAATTGATTCAATGCATCAATAATCTGCTTTGATGCACTGATCTAACATATGAACTGTTAAAGTCAAGTATTCTCAGATGAAATGCTGAAACCTGATTATCCCTTGCTTAAAATGCCAACATCCGTGTCTGATACTGTAGTGCGCACGGGAGCATCTAAGAGAAGGACTCATGATTGCATTGAATGTTGAATGAAAAAATATTGCATGTTTATTACAACTGAACTAGGAAAATTCATGCAAAATAATTAGTCTCCTCATAAGATCTCTGCTAATGAGAGCAACTGTCAGCTGAAAGTTAGACTGACTACTGTGATCAGCACGTAAAGACGTATTATCACTCTTGCTCCATATAAGCTCTGTACTACAAAAAAAAAAAATTACGGCTGTACTTCAAGCGCCATCTTTCCAACAGCAGAGTGAGATGGTAGCAGCATGTTCTCAAACTACAGTGTTTTTATGTGTTTTGAAGTTTCACACTTACTAAATAACTTTTGATGTGTTTAGAGAAACCGAACAGAATCAAAGCTGGGGGAGCTGAGTACATTATTTGTGAGAAAACCCCAGAAATACAAGATCCTATTTCCTTGAGAGCTGGTTGGATCTGAGGGTGCTGGATTCTGTATGTTGGCCATGCAAAGGTCAGCTAAGAGGGAGCAGATACTTTCTGAGGACCAGCTGCACGCATTCAGAAACAGTGCTGCAATGGAATAATGCCTAAGTTGGTGTTTACTCTTTCTCCGCAATACTGTCTGGGAGTGACTAATGTATTCTGCATCCATTCGTGGTTACTTGTTCAAACTACTAAACAGGGCAGCTCTGGAAGAACCTCTCCTGAAGCATCCTGGACAGGGCGTCTCACTCAGTGTGCATATATACTTTTTAAGACATGCCTGTTTCCACGCTGGTCAGCTATAAAACAGCACTGGCAGGGCTGACATGGATTCCGTGTCTTGCTTAAAGATAGCACAGCATTGTTGGATGGCCAATATTAGAGTGTGTTTGAACCCTGAACATCCAGTTGAAGGATGGTCTCTTTGCTACCATGTCACCCTGAAAATCTAGACCTGAATGTAGTGAGATGTCCAGACTTGTTTAAACATTACAGGGTCCCCTCTGGGCTCGTAGTGAGCTTATGCCAGCCTACCTGTTATAGGTGCATCCACTTCCAGCATGCACTTCTCTTGGCGGAGGATGTTAGCCCCGTCGTTGATGATCTTTAGAGCCACATCCTCTTCCACCCTGCCTTCTTTGACGAGGTGGTTGCGGAGCAGCTCAGCATTGGGCTTGCCATCTTCATATATCTCTTTTACAGTCAGCTTATGTTGTGGAGGGTATGGCACAGCTGTTGAAGGAAAAAAAAAAAAAAATCAACATCCACTAGTAGGATAAATATGTTAATAGCTAATTACAGCTGTGACAGCTTTTTTTTTGTTCGCATTTAGAGAGTTTCAGCTTGTTCAAATTGAGAAAAGTATTCAAGAGACAAGTGCATCTATGCAAGAAAAGAAGGCAATTTCATGCCACCAATATATAAGACGATATGAGCCCTGAAAGAAAATGTGGAGCAGAGGAAATGTTCTGCACCTCAGACTGCATTTGCTTAAGCTGTAATAATGAGAGGTGACATTTGCATTGATCGAGCCAAGATGAAGTTCTTGGCACAGGAGGAGGAACGCGTATACCTACATGATAATGTCATGATGCATAAGACGGACAGTAAGAAGCCCCGTACCTCACTTGACCCATCCTCCCTCAGTAATCTGCTCCATACCACCTACACAATCCTTTTACCGTCATCCCAAAAGGTCAACGCTTTCGAGGCTGAGACTTGAGAGCTTTATGATCAAAACACAGTCAAGTGCTCAACATCTTTCACTGCAAAACGCATCACAGACAGAAGGAGGATCCAGCAGCAGGACAGTAGTGACGATAAGACATTAAACATTAATAGCTATAAGATAGATAGCCAAAAAGCAAAACAGTGCCTTTTAATCCAAACTAATAATAACAATTCAATCCAATTCTTTGACATCTAACATTAATGCAGCTAATAATATCAAGAGTTTATGCATGAAAAGAACTACAAGTCTAAAATTCAGCCCTGTCCCGAGCTGTCAGCTGTACAGATTAGTACAGCAGCTCCATCAGTTCATTAAACTCCGGTTCAGATATTAGCCGACTAAGCTGCACTTATTCAAAACAATAGTAGAGTGCCATCCAAGCTCTCTCACTTAAAGGGCTTGCGAGGTAAAAAGGGATTACAGCTGGTATGCCAAACAAACAGGCCAGGCACACACAAATACATTATGGCATCAATTAAGTATGGTGTAAAGCTAGTCAGTTCGGTTTTTCAGCACTAAGGCACACAGAGACATTATGTAGAAAAGTGCAACAATAATATTGTGTGTTATATATGACTGCCTTTGCACAGCTGAAGAAAACGAGAGTTTTAAACCCACAGAACCCACTCATTCAAATAGTTTCATCCTAGATTCCTGATGTCACCAAATCCGTCCACGGGTCAGTGAACAGGACACCCCATGCCATCAATTGTGACATAATTCATATATCAGCGCTGCTTGTGTTATAAGCTGTGCCAGTGGCAATGAACAAGAAGAGGAGAGCGAGAGGTATTCTGAGAATGTCGTCACACCCACACAGAGCAAATCTAACAGCAATATGAAAAAAAGAAAAAGGCATTAATGACTTTTTAGTGTGGGTGCATTTGCTAATCAGTGATGCAGAGCCTGAGTGCAGACGGAGCCTGATGTATTTCTCACTCAAGATTGTGTCTCAGTCTGGACTTGAGGGACACATTAAGAGTTTAGAAGCTGATCTGCTGATGTTTTCATAGCTTTTGTAAAGACATATTTGACACACACTGTTAGATTTACTGCCGGTCCAATAAAGCTGCAAATAAGGGCCTGCAGGTGGTGTTGTGGCCGCGGTGCAGGAGATGCAGGTAACTGATGGTAGCTAGGCAGCAGACTATAGCCTGGCCTGCGATGGAAAAGCTAGAGTGCAGTTCCAACTTGGCTAGCCTGTGCTGAGGACAAGCTGTCATGAGTTGACCAGCGTGGTATAAATAAACAGTAAGTGCTCCCAGGCCTACGAGGCACGGCTGCGAAGAGAGCTGTAAGCTGAGGTACGAGCCTTAAGAACAGATTAGGTAAAGCCTCTATTAGCAAGGGCTTCCAGATACAGGGGCTGTTTACTTAAAAGCCTGGTCACACTGAAGGAAGACTCCAGTATGAACAAAGCAGAAAAATTGACCAAATTCACATGCATTTGCCTGGAGGCTGGCGGTAATTACCCGCGCTGGACAATAATAGCTGGTCTCTGTGCCAAAGAAAAGAAGTCTCCTTCTCAACAGGAATGATCCCCCTGCCCCCCCCAAATAATAACAACAATAACAGATTAAAAGAATTGCTGGGTCGATTGGCCTGTACAATCAAGGCTGGGCCAGTCTGTTCAAACACAGATCTGTGGCTGCCAGTAAAGAGCTTCACTCCGAACACACAACACCATGCAGTGAAAGAAACCGACGGTGGAGACGAAATGAAGCGAGCCACTTATTTTTCCGGCACGTGAAGTAAAATGTTTTGTTGAAAATAATAAGCTGCCACCGCCCTGACACTGGCTTCTTATTAAAGACTGCCTGTCCTAATTAGCATTAATGTTTGATGAACTCTTCAAAACCACACACACACACACACACACACACACACACACACACAGGGCCACTGCTGCACTGCATCAACACCCACGCTGTCTGGCATGACAACAAACGACTCAAGAAACAAAGCCACTACTATCTACCAGCCTGCCCACCGAGGATAATGTTTTGGACAGTGATACAAGCCATCGTCTAGAATATGTCCGCCATTGTTTTAAAATCAACACAATGGAGGAGGATTGAATTACAAATATGCGGCTGGGTAGAGATGAATAGAACAGACTGGGGCTGGATGAATCATGAAGTCCACTTCAGATTGCTCTAATTATCTGTAAATGCATTACCCTTGCGAGCTAAATGCCAGGCCACGGATTTATTCTCTATTATCTTATATCCCTGATTTTATTTCAGACACAAGAGGATCGGGGTTAGCACGCAGCAACAAGCCAGTTCAATTTATATCAAAGTTGACATGAATCTTTGTCACATCTAGCAACGGAGATATCAAAAAGGTAGCTAAGCAAAGTCTTGTCTGCAGTAAGTGCAGGTGGGCACCACACACCTATTCGTCTACTGAATACTCAACAAGTAATAAGTAAGCACACAGCAATAAGCAATACTCAGCAGTGAATCAGCTTAACTGTTGACTTACACAACCAGAACAGCATTAGCCTTATGTAGTCTACCAGTTAAGCCCTCTTGCAGCCTCCAGTTACACTGGAAACACCACTGTGATTACCTGCCAGAAAACACCAAGGGTCAACTAGTGCGGACCACATATTTCAGCCTGAACATACAGTGATATTTTACAATCATAGTTTGCATTGCGTTACAAATATGTACTCAAAAAAACTGAACCATGCATGATGTGGATAACAATAACTAATTTCTGGCTTTTTAATACAGGGACAATATTGTTTGGGATGGGGGGGGGGGGGGCACCCTGAAGCAAAGTCGCCTTTACTCCCGTCTATGTTTCTTCTTTCCGTCTTCTTCCCTGTCACGTTCCTATTCTCTCTTTCCGCCATGTGGCTGGCCATGTTGGGAACATCACTGTGGAGATTCTTTCCACAATTAACTCACCCTCTCCCTACTGGCTCACACATCAGCATTCCAGTCCCCTGGCAGGACTCTCTTCCAGTGCCCATGCAGACAGACCGGGATGTGGCCTGTGTTGGCATTAACTACTAGTGGTAGTGGTGGTGGTGGTGGCAGGGGTGGGGTTGGCTTCTCTCTCTCGGGAGTTACCTCAGACTTGGCTCTGCCTGCCCGGTCTTAGGCAGACACAACAAATGGTGTCGTGTCTGTCCAAAGAGCCATGACCGCCTCAGGGTGAAGGAATCCATCTTGTCAAGCCCCGCTGGTAACCTGAGCGGTCCTTGGTTATTCCCGTGAGGGAGCAACGACCTCACAAATTAAGATTTCATCAATCCTAAATGTCAAGGAGATTGGGCACCAACATAGGACGACTCCTCGCCTTTGATTTCTGCTGTGTGGTGGTGTATCACATATACCAGCTATGGAGCTAACTATGGAGATGATTTATGAAGTTCTAACCTAAGCAATCATGGAAAGAAAGATGCCCTGATTCACCCTCATCCAGAGATATCTGAGCATCTGCTTGTTAAGGGGAATGGTGTAGAAGCCCCTATGGATGTGACAACAGTGGAATAAACAAAACAATTAAGAATACCTTTTGTCTCATATCACCGGAAGCCTGCTGACCTAAGGCTCCTATAATAACAACATTATAAACTTCGCCACACGTCTTTTTGACAGGAAGGGGTTTAGACAAAGTTATTCCAAAAGCTACAGGTGGTTTTCAATTTCATACGTTAGCAATCAACCCAAGGATGTACGATGCACGTAACATTGAAGAAAACACTCACCTTTTATCAGCCGCTCCGTGGTGGACTGCTTCTCCTGTTTGTCTTTGTCTTTATCCTTTCCTGACATCTTTGATTCGTCTGAAGGCTAATTTCGGGGATCAAATCTTGTACAGCTCTCTTGCCAGCTAGCTCGAGGACAAGCTAGCGCATCAGCCTGACTGTCAGCTCCGTCTTGACTTTCGGTTGTGGTCGGAGGCACTAATTTTATGTTTGCTCTTTCCAACAAACACTAAAGATTAGCTAGCGAAGGAGCTCTGGCTGTTATTGTGGTTTAATTGGCTAATAACCTAGCTAGCTTGCAGCAACATTAATGCTCGCTAATAATTACAGCACAAAGTACTTATTTTGACACAAATGTAGAATTGTAATAAACATTAGAAAAAACATAGGCAACCGTTTGCTGCGTAATAGTCGTCAAGCACAGCAAATAATACCTGGATATTAAGAGTTACCTAAAGGGAGGCTGCCGTTAGCAGCTAACGTTAATCCGATTTACCGTTAGTTAACGTTGCTCTTTCTCAGCTAGTTAGCCAGCTAACATCTTAACGTGTTGGCAAGTCGGTGGACAGGCAAAGACAGCAACGGAAGACTGGCGTTTCATCTTTTACGTCCAGGCCGCTTATTGTAGAAAAAAAATGATTCTGGCACGTGAAGCCGCGTTTCTTCAGAATGCACAAACTCGGAGAGTCCTTCCAAGATGCGGACAGCGCCTTGACAGCGGGTTCCTGCTCCTCGGATTAAACTCTAATCTGACAGTGAGTGAGGAGCAGCGGTGGATTTCCTACAACATGGTGGAGCCGATGTGACGTGACTATGGAAACGTAACACGTGGTTTAGGGCTGCGTTAAAAACACTAAAGATTTCTTCCAGCGCGACCAGCCGCGTTCTTTGTTGCTGTTCACACGCGAGTGAACATAAAACACGGCAAATACCACTAAATACTGCTTCCCTGGGGTATAAGCTCCTGAAACATGTGTCGTGTCAGATGTGTTAAGATTCCTAGAAAATATCTCTGTTTGTAGTCCTAGCTTTTATAGTTCTTTGTGTTTCCAATGTCCTAAGCGTATTTGAACGTTTCTGGAATTGTCAGGAAAAGTCAGTTCACCTTAAAGTTCGAATAACTAAGCACACACAGTAATTATGCTTATGCTCGATTAGATTAGATTTGACCAATTTAATAAAGAAAGAAAAGAAAGTGACTCTGCCTGAAGCTCGTTTACTCCCTAACACACACTGTGAATCACGCCCATCCTAAAACAAGGCACTCCAGAGGTGGGCGTGCCTCTGAAGTGTCTTTGCCCTGCAAATGAGTATGACTTGGAAAATTATTCACTAGAAGATGCACAGCTCACAGCCCAGTTCATCTTGAATGTATATATCATTCAATTGAGTAACCGCAGACATCAGAAGGGTTACTAGAAGTTTTTTTCACAAAAAAAACGCAATCGTCCGTCCTTTAGATTGGACATAAATGCAACATTACAGGCGCAGGGGTGCATTCAACACCACAACATGTTTAACACATTGTTAACGCGCTACAATGACGTAGTGTATTGTAATAAGTATAAGCATAATAATAATAATCTTTATTTAAGACAAACGGGGGGGGGAAATTAAAGGTACAACTTCAAGAAACGAGTGGAGAGACATCAAATCAAATGCAGATACTTCCGTGCACCAGGACTCACTGGAGGTTTGGTGAATAAATTAGGTGAATAAAATGCCGCGGCCTTTACAGTCACTAGATCTCAACTCAGTTTCACACCTATGGAAGAATTTGGACCAGAGTGCAAGACAGTGCTCTCCACCGTCTCCATGAGACCAATTATAACATATCTCAAGGAGGAATGGTATGTTCCGCAGTCTTTGCAGACTTGGAGGCTCCTGGTGGCCAGACTCCATACTAGAAGACACTTAATGCTGCTTTTTCCTTTAATTTGTTACCCATCTTTATATCTAAAATCTAATTTGGAGAGTGCGAGAAATAACTGCTTTTAAATAACACAGGAGAATAACTCCTTATTGATCAGTTAAGTTATCAGTAACTTGGCCTTCTGTGTTCTAGTACTAGAAACATTGTTTAACATAACTATAAATATACCTGTGATTTTTGGAGATAATATTGTATACCATCATTTTCCAAGTATTATAATAAAATAACTAATTTTATGAAGCAATGTTTTTCTCTTCACGTTGTAAGTTATGGCCATTAACCTTTCTCTACATTGGGAGTTAAGGATAAATGTCATGTATTATCAACCCAGGAACACTAGGTGGCTGTCTTGTTTCATTTTCAAAAATGTTGCAAAACTCCAGTGTGTTCTCATGTGACATAACTGCATACAGCAAACAAGTCACATGTGTTCACTGTGTAATAACAAGGCAAGTGGATAAAAAAACATGTAAAAAAAACTGAGATTTATTGAACTTGAAAATAGCATTAAATTCCACTTGAACATTCATTATAAGTCAATACCTACAACATTACACTGAAAATATCACCACCACATATAAAACAATGGATACAGAGGATCAGTTCAAATGTAAAAAGCAGCTCAACGGCTAAAAAAAAGTATTAAAGAGGACTCTTTAGACTGAACACAAAGAGCAAAGGCCATGCACAAAATAATTATCCACTATTAGTTGTTAGAAATGCTGGTTCATCGAGATGTTGATGCTTCTGCTATTTCTGTAGTTTTGCCTGCTGACAAGTATGCCTTGTCCATTCTGTGGTCCACGTCCTTGCTTTGAGGTTAAAGTATTATCACCGAGATATGACAAAAAACATTTCAGAGCCCTGTTATTTCACCAATTAAAAAACAAAAAAAACAAAACAGCAACAACACATGCAAACATCTCTGAAACTGACCCCAGCCAATCCTCAACGTAATGGAGGAAGAATAGAAGAGAAGCACAAGCACCGCTAGGCACAAAGCCTGAGGGCATCTCTTGTCTCTCTGGCACATGTTCAGTGTTGCTCTACTATGGCCTTCTGCTTCTAGTGAGAAAGCAAAGCCTGACAGTCTGACGCTGCCTTTTTTTTTTCCTACCTTCTGGTGGAACACAAAATCAGTAGCAGGAGGAGACGACCAAATGCTTGGCCATTTTTCTTTCTTTGAAGGGTTGGGGGATTCTAACCTCAACAGCTGAGCATAGAGAATCAGCAGGACGCCATAAACGTCACTTCAAGTGTAGGCACTCGTGGCTCTTCAACAGTGCACAGCGACAGCAGTCGGGAGGAAAACAAATGAATATCTTTCGCACCAGAAAACATTTCCTCCCAGGTTGACTTTGCAAGTTCCTCCTGAAGAAATCTGTCTGTCTTTCTTTCTTTTTTTTTTTTTTCTTTCTTTTTTTTTTCTTTTTTTACAAAAAGAGTGTTTCATCTGAACATCACAAACAGATATGTTGGAATGGGAACAATGGTAGATCGCCTCACTAATTGTTTCACTTGCATAAAAAAAAAAAATAAGAGTGATGTGGGAACTCTTTGGTGCTCAGTGTGACAGAAAACTGACCAGGACCATGCGTATGAGATCCAAAGAACTGTTGGCATCATCTCCAATCCCAACTAAGGGTGTTGAGGACAACAGACAACATAAAGGAGTGTTGCATTACAACAGAAACCTACAGAAAACAACACACATCAGAAGTGTACTGTATGGCTATACATAAATCCTTCATTTCAGGCAGGGCTCTACAGGCCTGGTCATTGATTACAACAGCTCAGACACTAATGCTCTCCTTCAACTCTCTTTTGACGTCTGCCTGAGATGGACCGAGTACACCATCTTGAACCAGGCAGGTCTGGACTCGCGAGACTCACCCACATGCTGAAGAAGAGATCCACCAACCAAAGCCCTCTTTTACACATGTTAATCAGTCTATCCTGGCTATTATTAACATAACTCCATTAGTACTATATCATTAAAAGATGCTGAAATTCAAATATGTCTACGTACCTTGCAGATTTTTATATTTAAAGAAAAATCACAGCATAGATGCAGTTTTGCCTGAATGTATTTTCATAAAAACTGCACAGTAATTTGGGTCTCTCTTTGTTTGCATATCCATTACCAGTAAATTAGTATGCTGCAGATGGAAATGACTAATCAAACCCTTTTTTTCAGTGACTTAAGTGCTCCGCAAAAGCTTGAGGAAGATGTTTGAAGGGAGGTGAGAGACTGAAAAGTAATGGGCATGCAGAGCTGAGGGCACAGCTCAGTGACCCATAGGCTGACACTTGTTTCAATACAGCCTGCATTGGGCCCTTCCACTGAAGGGACTCAGGCAAGCAAGAGTCGAGGCTGATCTCGTCACGTCTTTTTTTGTTGTTGTTGGGAGTGTTGATGGGGTTGAGAGGTGAGCGCAAATCCACAGAGGATATTGGAGATCTGCTTCAGCTGAATGTGACCAGACCAGCGCGGGTCGGCCTCCTTGTGATGTGATTGGTCGTATTCCAAGAACGCCAACGACTTAGAAAAATAGTTCTCAGAGCAGTTCCAGTAGGGAAAAGTCCACGACACGCACGGTGTCCTGTGAGTGGCAACTGCTTTTATTTACTGCATGATAAAGCCAGGCTGCGGGGCCATACGAGGTGGGGGCCTCTGAGGCAAGGCTGGGGGGTACTGAGATAGGAAGTGGTTGGGGTAGCCAGAGGAGACGTTGGGGAAAGGCTGGCCTGTTCTGGGGGGAATTGGCGGGTATGGCGATGCTGAGTAGAAGACAGGAGGCTGGGGGTCAGCGGTGAGAGCTGGACTTAGAATAGGTGCTGGCTGGGACGGAGGAGGCGGGGGTTTCCTCCTCGGCTGGGCTACAGGGGAATTGCTGATGTCGGCCTCGGTAAGCAGGGACACGTCCTGAGATCGGGAGGTAGGGACTGACGCCTGGGGCAGACGGTGGCCATTCAGCACCATCTCTTGCAGCTTCTCGATCTTCACCCTTCTCAAGTGGGCCAGCTTCCTATTACTCTGGTAGGAATCAACGAAGGATTCCAGGGTCATGTCGCCATCCAGGAAGGAATCGGCCATGTTCTGTTGACAGAAGTAAAGAGATTTTGGACAGTTTAGAGAGAGAATAGAGAAGCCCCTTCTGTCTCTTATACAACACCAAGTTGAGAGCCAACATGAGTCATGACGATGGAAATAGCATCCAGGGAAAATCACAAAGAAACAAAGCCAGACACCCAAACTTCTGTGGGATTTAAAATTTTTATGATCATCGAATGATTATATCTTCAACCATTTATTCAGTAACATTTTGAAAAATAATGTCAAATAACTTGTAAATGACCAGAGATTGAATAATCAACTACACAAGTCTGATGTTTAGATTTAAACTCTGAACATTGATGCTGCAGTCACACCCTGTGTCAGTATCTGTCGCTGCAACTTTACAGCACAGTCCTCTTGTGGTCAAACTCGTTTGAAGGTGACCTGACCTGGGACCTCATACAGAGAACACACACAGATACACCCCCAGACTGCCATATATGGTCGTCACATCCCTTTGAAAGTCCTAGTAGCTAACAATAGAGATAATGTTGCGGACATGGGTAGCAAGCGAGAAAGATAAGATAAAAATGTCATAGACAATAAGGGTTTAAGATATTGTATCGTTACAGGAGCAGACATGTGAGAAGGTTTCCCAGCATGCACTGGGGCAAAAAATCCCTGAACATTTTCACTCTTTCCACACTCCATAGAATAGTTATGAAACTCAAATGAGCTTACACCGACGAGTAACGTGGTGTGCACAATTGGTCATCTCTCTGCCGCGCACAGAGCTGACTTCAGCTGAAATGTTGTTATGGGCAATGCTACTCTACACATATTGTTTAATGGCAAACTTTAGACCATGAACAAAAAAGATGTTTGCTATTTGCCCCAAATATTGTTGATTTTTTTGTTGTTGTTCTTACTATTGTTATTAAAAACATGGGGAAAAACACATAATTGAATAACAAACAACATATTAAATACTTTCCCAGGTAAAAAGCCATGTGAAAAGTAATTATATTTAACTAATAAGTGAATGTTCCTCAAGAAACTGTGTGTGAAGCCAGAGACTGGTTTCTTGGACGGGGCACTTAATAAGTGGGGGGTATGGGGGTCCTC